ATACTAGTTGACTTAGAACTATCTCTGTCCCATTGTCAACTGGGCGGCAGTGAAATAGCTTTATTATATCTATGTATTTTGTGTGAGAGCATATTTCGAGTATTTGACACATTTTAGATGGACTAAAGAGTCTTCTAGTTGTCTCTTTTTAGCGTTCAAAAATGCAGATTTTATAGCCCGATGTTCATCTCAAAATGAGATTTTTTTTTGGAACTTTCACGATTGTCTCATATCGCCAAAATTTGACATAGGCCACTGCAGTTTTGAGTCTTCGATGTGAGCAAACACTGGGGTCATAATTTTCATTATGATTTCTTTCTGTGAAATTTATTTCATTTTCTTTTGTTCATTGGTGATTGTGGTTTAGTCTGCATCTTCGGTGATTGTTTATTGTGTTGCTGTTTATACCCTTATATAGCAACACAATTAGCGGTCACCGAAAATGCAGATGCGCTCACGCTTGAGTGTTTTTGAAGTTCTTTTCCAAGAAAAATTTGGTATATTTAATTTCTGCTTTTTTGGGTAAATGCATGGGTAACTTAAGAAAGTTGAAATGGGGCTGGGGGAATTGGAGAGGAAACCAATAACTCACTTTTTGATGACTCTATCGAGTTGGAAACTTGACTCAAAAAAGAGTTATCGCAATTGATCTTGACGACTCTATCAAGGGATAAATTTGACTCAAAGAGAAGTCATCGCACATGACTCTTGACGACTCTATCAAGGTATAAATTTGACTCAAAGAAGAGTTAATGTGCGTGACTCAAGTAAAGAGTCAAATATTTCTTGACTCATTGAAAGAGTAGGAGGCTCGTTGAGTCAAATTTGAGTCAATATTTTTTAGAATGCAAGAACTGCGGTAAAACTGCACATGATTTCAAAAATTGTCGTAATAAAAACTTCCAGTGTTTTAACTGCGGCCGCCGAGGTCATATTCAACAGGTTTGCACACGACGTAAGCCAGTGGTGTCCAGAGAAAATACGCGGAATGACCGACGCGATAATGATAAACCACGAAGTGCAAATGTTATGGAGAACGACAGCAGTGATAGTCCTAACTTGGGGAATTCGTCGTCTATAAAGGTTGGTAATTTACTTATAAATAACGTACTTAGAAACGAAAATGGTGCAATTTGGCTTTTTCCGATTATCAGTGGGAAAACATCAAGATGGGAACAAGATACGAGATCGGCTGTGTCTATCATTTCTAAAACTTTTTACGATTCACATTTGTCTCATATCCGTTTGAATGATACAAAAATTTGCTTGAATTTGCTTGAAGACTTATTTGCTTGAAGACTTACTTCGATATAGTATTTAATGCCCAAAGGTATAAATCCAGATTGTACGTAGCAAGCACAAACGGTCCTAGTTTGTTTGGGCGTGATTGATTATATCAAATTCAATTGGACTGGAGAACGATTTTCAATATACGTGAGGCAACAGAACCAGTCTGTTTCCCCGAAACCAAAACTCGATTGAAACATTTATTAAAAAAGTGCAGTGATGTATTGTATTTTCTGATGACTTGGGCTGCATAAAAGAGACAAAAGCAAAACTGGTTTTGAAAAAGAGCGCCATACCTAAATTCTTCCCTCCTAGGCTTGTACCTTTTGTGCTTCGGCCTGAAATTGAAACGGAGTTGGAAAGACTTGAACGTGATGATATAATTACCAAAGTCACTTTTAGTGAGTGGGCTACTCCAATAGTTCCAGTTCTTAAGAAAGACGGTGAAATACGACTTTGCGCTGACTTTAAAGTGAATGTAAATCATGTTCTTTGTGTAGATCAATATCCATTACCAACAATAAATGACCTTTTTACATCTCTTGCAGGAGGACAAAAGTTTAGCAAAATAGATTTGAAACAAGCACATTTACAAATGGAGGTTGAAGAGGAGTCGAAGGAATTTTTGACAATTAATACTCATAAGGGATTGTATAGGTTTAATGGGATTCCATTTGGCATGGCATCCAACCCGGGTATTTGGCAAAGAACAATTGAACAAATATTAAACGGGGTTCCAAGAAGCAAATGTATTCTTGATGACCTGTTAACAACGGGTTATAATAACATTGAGCATTTGGACAATATTAAAAAACTTCTTATGCGTTTGCAACAATCTAATCTCAAAGTTAATAAAAGTGAGACAGGATTTTTTAAAAACAGCGTTGAATTCTGTGGATACAAAGTTGATGGTAATGGGCTTCACAAAACGGATGCTAAAATTAAAGCCATTCGTGACGCACCGAGGCCGGAAAACGTCAGTCAAGTGAGATCGTTTATTGGCATGGTAAATTACTATCAAAGATTTATTCTGAATTTGTCATCTGTACTGTATCCTTTGAAATTGTTTGCTCAGGGCTAATTGCAGATGGAAGTGAACTAAATAATGCGAAAAAGCGTTTCTTGAAGCCAAAAAGCTTATGACCTCGAGCACTGTATTAACTCATTATGATCCTTCATTAACTTTAAAACTGGCTTGTGATGCTTCACAGTATGGTCTCGGGACGGTAATGTCTCATTTGATGAAAGATGGTTCCGAACGTCCCATAGCATTTGCTTCAAAATCGCTTACCGAGACGCAAAGGAAATATTCACAAATAGAGAAAGAGGCCCTTGCAATTATTTGGGCGGTCGAAAGGTTCTATTGTTACGTATGTGGGAGGAAATTTACTCTAGTTACCGATCAGCGTCCTCTAACGTCTATTTTCCATCCAAACAAAGGTATATGCTACAACAGCTGCAAGGTTACAGAGATATGCTTTGTTTCTAGCAGGTTTGGACTATGAAATTGAATTCAAACCAACGGCAAAACACTATAACGCAGGTGGATTATCTAGGATGCCGCTTCAAGCACAAGAGAACGAAAGTGAAGACGATATTACTGATGCTACAATAAACAGTTTTGCCATTTGTGATTCTCTGCCGATAACGTGTAAACAGGTTAGAAATCAATTGTTTTGTGACGCTGATTTAATGGAAGTATATGACTCTGTAATGAAAGGGTGATCGTTGTCCCAGTCACAGAAACCCAGTATCAAGCCCTACTATTTTCACAAACGTGAATGAAATAACGGTACATGATGGTTGTTTGGTGTGGGTTTCAAGAGTAATCATACCAAATTCTATGAGATCACGTTTGTTAAAAGAATTGCATGATGGTCATGTTGGAGTTGTGAAAATGAAATCTTTGGCTCGAAGTTATTTCTGATGGCCAGGGTTAGACAAAGACATAGAAAATATGGTTAAAAATTGCAATGACTGCCAAATGCAGCAAACTGAACCTTCGAAAGCTCCTCTATACCACTGGGAGTGGCCCCAACCACCATGGATCTGAGTCCACGTAGATTTTGCGGGTCATTCAAAGGGGCGATGTTTTTAATAGTAGTAGATGTATATTCATATTAGCCTGAGGTTATTGAAATGTCGTCAACTAACGCCAATAATACTATCTGTGTCATAAGAAGTCTTTTTGCTAGATATGGTTTACCAGAATATCCTGTGAGCGACAATTGACCTCAATTTTGTTTACGTGAATTTGCACACTTTTTGAAAGCAAATGGTATCGAGCATAAGAAATCTGCACCTTATCATCCGGCATCTAACGGTGCTGCCGAACGATTTGTAGAAACGTTCAAGCGCGCTATGCGCTCAGTTAACGATGCCAACAAATTCGACTTACTTTTGGATGATTTTTTGCTGGGGTATCAAAATACTCCCCATTGCACGACAGGTGGGGCACCTTCTGTATTATTCTGTAAGCGACGTCTTTGTAATATTTTGGACTTAATCAAAACCTAACATTCGTAATCATGTTGAAGAAAAACAATATACAGTGCGGACAAAGAGTAAGAAAACTCTGCGATCCTTTAGCGTTGGTGAATCAGTTCCGATTACCGTGGAAACTCGAAATGGAAACGTGGTGAAATAACAGAAACAATAGGGCTACTACCTATCTTGTCAGTGTCGCTCCCAATGTTAGTTGTAAGAGGCAAATCGACCCGATTATTAAATCTGACTTGAAAATCAAGCAAGAACATAGATATGAAGAGCAACTGGTTGAATCTAAAGATGATCATTTTGAACATGACGAGCCTGCGAGTGTGGAACCGGATGCAACAGACAGTGCAGTATCCAAAAGTCCAGTGCCGTCTTCAAACATCGAATCACCGCCACCGAACTCTCCCATCGGTTGGACACCGGTAACTGACGAAGCACAGAATCAGACACCAAAGTCGACTACAGATATTGAACGACGTTACCCACTTTGGCGGAGCAAGAAATCAGATAGATTTCAATTTTAAGTTGTTTTTAATGTAAAACTCTGGTTACTACATCATTAGTATATGTCTGTCAGCGTTAAATCTTGCTACTAACAATTCCTATTTTTAGGAGGGAAGTGATGTGGTGTATTTATTACGTCATAAATCGCATGACTACTCATCACGTTTTGTCCTTGGCCGGAGTTTCCGGTATTACTATATTTAGGAAGGACCGAAATCTTTCTGGTTCGGCATTGCTTATCAAGTTATTATTTGAAATGAATAAAAAGTTGAAATAATGCTCAACATTGTACAATCTACACGAGCATTAGATTGTTGACATCAAATAATGTGGCATATAGAGCAGTACGATATCTAATGTAACCAGCAGTTTAGTCTTGATTTCCCGAATTTCATGCATTTTATTAATAATGAGAAGCTCACCAATGCAAATAATGACTTGCAACCTGATTATTATACAATTCGAAATATTTTTAATTGTTTGAGTTTAGGAGCGATTGAATGTAACAAAGACTTTTTCCTTTTCTATTGCCTGAATGAACTATAAGTTATACCTTAATATTAACTCAATGCAGTTTTGATTTTTGTTACTCAATATAAATTACCTATTAGCATAGTCACGCTAGAACCAATACCATAAGTTATATGTGGTCCTAGCTTGTTCCGTTACACTAATCTTTGAATAACCAATGTTTCATTTCGAAATATTTGTACCTTTGCATCCCGAACATTTTCTTTGAATGCTTTCATTGCTTCCGCTGTCAGATTGCATCCCTGCATCACAACCTTCTCTACTTCCCATTGTGACACAATAATACCTGTGACTCCCATCCCTCCAACACCAAGATTTCTATTGCGGCTGACATCGAGTTCCTTCAACTGAATGAATAATAACATTGACGATTATAACATTGAAATAATGCTCAACATAGTACAATCTACACAGGCATTCAATTAATGAAATCACCTAATGTCGCATATGGAGCAGAACAATAACCCATGTAACCAGTAATTTGGTATGACTTCCCCGAATTTCATTTATTTTATTGATAATGAGAAACTTAAAAAATACAAATAGTGACTTGCAACCTAGTTGTCATACATTTTTAACCTGAACCATGTCTAGCGACTTGTTGGTGGCAATGCATGAAACGCTCATAAAATTTAAGTGACTGCGATATGCTTGGCCCATAGATGAGAATCACTAATATGAAAGCGGAATGCGTTCACTGTTATATCATTTCTATGTTTCGAGTTCAATTAACCATGAAATACCAGTTACCTTTAGTGTTATTTTTCATAAGTATAAACCAGGCATTAGGCCCTTGGTCAACTTTTCGACTACCAGACTTAATGTCTGGCTTGAATTTAGTCAGAAACATCTTGAGTCTTCTCGCCTGACATGATCGAGGGGATATCTTCTGATATCCAGACGCGCAATCACGGCACTATTCGCACGCTCTACCAAGTATGAGCTGACAAAAGTAATAAAAACTTTTAACCCGATCCCACACGTAAGGATATATCAATTTGATTCTGTAGCCAGAAACATGAAACACCGACACACTGATTGACGCTTTGAAAGCATAGTACCAACGGTAGTGGTTCAGTGGAAATTCAGGGTTACCCAAAAAAAGAAACCCAAATTTTTTTAATTATTCCCACAGAAAAATAACTATTTAATTTTATTTGCGCTTGAACTTCTGTTTGTGTGTGATTGATTATACACAGAAGTTTCAGGAATCTAAGAAACTTTGTACAAAAGTAATGTTCTCTCTAAAATATGTTGCAAAATACCTCATTGGCGTTAGAGACAGATTTGCACCCGTTTCACAAAATTGTCTATCACTCACTTAGTTTCCTGTTGAAGCAATCTTTCTGCTATTAGGTCATATAAATAACAACAAAATGTTTAACGGGGCACAGAACCTCCAAGAGAAGGCCTTGTGTATTATTTATGTAGCCTTGTTATTCAATGACCCAAGAATGAAAAATGAACCAGGTAAGTCGCAACGTGGAGATGGTTGGATCTGGCGTACGTCATTTCAATCAGATGGTCCAGCTGTCACGTGTTGCTCCCATCATTAGCAAAATTATAAATAAGGGTGTTGTACCAAAACAACCACATATAACGCTGCTTGGACGATGGAATAGGAGACTTTTGAATCGAAACTTTGGAAAACCGGACAGCATAACTCTCCTCGTGGATCCTATTTCAGTACTATAACTGACAGAAGCACAGGAAGTTGGAACAATTTTAGACGAAAATGAGAATAAAAACTATTGGATCTGCCTGAATGGACTTTAAAAGTTGAGATTCTCAGAGAAATACAAACACGTGATCAGAATAATGGAGACCTCTGTGATGCCAATATTTGTGTATTTATTGCGAAAATCTCTGTTCATCTTATATGGAATCTTGATTATTATTAGTTCTCATATGAAACAGTTTGACTGCCTTCAAATTTTCATGTAGCAAGTATCCTACACATGTTCCAGCGTTCGTTTGTTTTTGCACTTTTCCAATCAAATGTAATTATTGCCCAAATGCGTTGACATGTCCGTAACGCGTTTGCGTCCGATACACTACGTACTTTGACAGTTTTTTTCAACTTGTATGCGTGCCTCATTTTCCCATCACATGAAACGCCCGATGAGCCTTTTGATACTGCTCATCGAGTCTTTTTAACTATATTTGTTATTGTGTGTGTTATTTTCGAGGAACGAGCACGTGCATTACACGCTTTAAACCTAATTCTTTAGTTTTGTTTGTTTTCCAGGCATTTTTGTAATATGTTTTTTTTTAACCGAGTGTTGAGTTTTCAGAATGCCGAAATAAATTGTATTGTACCGTTTTCAAGCACCTTCGAATTCGATAGTAAAATGAAGCTGTAATTCAAAACAGAAAAACGAAACGTGCTTGACATCATAGGAGGGCATGGTGAAGGAAGCGTATGACACGCGCCATACTAGTATTATTGCGAAACAATACGGATTTACTAAATCATAATATTCTACGTTGAGCGAGAAATTTCCAACTACGAAATCACAAGTTACCAGGTAGAACCAAAACATAGGAGTAAATTAAAATGAGAGATAATTCCACACGGCTTGTGTTTGCCCGAAATGTTGTCACCGCTCCCCAATCGCTCAGTTTAACAGCCAGCGCCCCCCAATTGCCCAAATCGCCATCGGCGCCCTTCCAGTTATCGCAAATGCCCACAAGGGGGCATTGTCGCCCACTTCGGGAACCGCTGAGCTAGACCATTGTATCCACTAAAATATGATTATTATGAAATCTATCGAATCCAGGCAACATGAGAGGCGCGATGGCGATCATATTGTCTTTGCGCGCTCAAGACTTTGGGTTCAAACCCCATGTCCACCATCTCACCCAAGCTGCAATAAAGTTGATATTCTCTCCCGAGCCAGAATGCCGTCGCGAAAGCGCATTGTTAATTTTCGCGCGTGTCTGAAAATGTACGCCTACGTGTTTTTGTCCATATCATCACCGTATAAAAGTGAAACATTTTAGTGTTGCAATATGATTGTATTTAGATATCTAACTAACATTCCTAAATCAAAAATAAGGAGCGTGTTGCATTTTATACATAATTTCAAAGGCCTCCACGCAGTCAAAAACGAATCGTCAACAAATCAAACAAAATAAAGGCACTCCATACGATGAAACCCCGCACACGTTTCTACATATTTTAATATTATGTTTTGATTTCGAATTAATTATGGAGCAATCTGCATTATTTTAACATGGGACTAAACAAAAAACACTGTTGAAATATACAGAATAGGATTTCAAATTCATCCATATTCAGAAGCAACTTTTCATTTCTCAGAGTATCGTACGCTTTCTCACAACCCACCACGTTTTATCAAGGCTGTCTTTGTTTTGCTAAATAACTCAAATCTTCTGAGAGTTCCCCGTTTCACCGGAGCATCGTCAGACGTGTTAAAAAATTTTGAACTTTTGAGCCAACGTTCACTGCCCATGAGAATGCGAAGGTAATATTTTACCCCAAATCGACAGTTTGTTGTTTGAACCTTAAACTGTTTTTGGTGTTTAGCAATTCTTTGTTCGAGTCTGTGCCAAATCGCAGACACAGTGTATTTTATTTTCATTCATTGCAATATTTTATTACCGCGAGCTCATTTGTATTGATTTTGCTTGTCTGAGTAAAAAGAGTGGGAACCACTGAACTATAAATAAACAGTTACCTACAACAGCGCCCCAAACTTTCAGTCGATATACAGGCACATTGTTCCCATTGATTAAATAAAATGTTTAGAATAGAAAATATTGATTTTCTAATTTTTCTCGTTGTAGGGTCGCGAGTATCTGTAGTTTTTGGTTTTACAAAAATTGGAATCGCAGAAAAAAATGTTGGGAACCACTGCTCTATGAAAGTTTCACATTCATTCTGTTAGCAGCAAGATGGCTGAACAGCAAATATACGACAAAGACTTATCCCCATTTAAGCCTTCGGTATAAACAAAAATGTTAAAATTTTTTCCTTACATCTGCATTTTTGTAGTAGTTTAAAAAAGAGGGAAAAAACGAAAATTTAGTTTTGATATCATATTCATGAATATATCGCACACAAACAAGTAGTTGTGAGCATAACACCACTGCATTTAAAGTCATTATCCCCTTTGTCTCCACTTACTCATGTGGTCATGGATTTTCTACGCTTGTTCACATGAGATAAATCAGCTATTTGCGTACGTGAGGAGTGGCAACTAATTTAAATGTTGTCCCTAACAAGCTCTATGCTATGTTCTCCTATTGTGTTTGTCGGTTTGAAAATTGTAGGGGCTGCGGTTACTTCATAGAAGGTTCATGAAGGGTCCACAGGAACATAAAGTTTACGGTTCTACATAAGGTAAATAGTGACTTGCAGCCTGTATGATGTTCGATTCAAAATAAACCGAATCGTTCGAAATCGTTATGTTTTGGTCTTTATATTAATCAAATCAATTGTTTGTGCTTTATATTTTTACAATGTTAATCACTTACTTTACCATTCCCAACATGTTTCAAGAAATTACGAAGATGAATCTCTCTCAAGTTAGCATCGATCAGATGCAGACATTCAACATTGTACTTGGAACAAACGATTCCAGTTTCAATGCTGAGTTGTTCTGACATCTTGATATCCCACAGATCTATCTTGCTGATAAACACCTGGATAAAAATAGATCAAGTTTATTCAGCACTTACTGATATAACCTGAGTAAAATCAAGTTGAAATAGTAAAAAAGTCGAAACGACTGAATCAAACTTTTTGTATATTTAATTAGTGATTTGACAGAGCAGTCACAAGAAACGGGCTTGCGAAATTCAAACAAAATAAATGAAAATGTTTCGAAACCCCCCTTTTTGGAAAGTGAAAAAAAATTTGACTGCTAATAGGTGCGACTTGCCACGCGCCGAATAAGCGCAGCAAACTTTATGGCTCCGTCTCCGGCTGATATGAAGCTTCCTCAAACCAACCAAAGAAGTTAGGTTTATTTGCATTGCATAACATGGGGAGTAGAGTGCGTAAAAGAATTGCGGATAAAACGCTGTGAGCCAAAAACTATTCGATATATTAGGTATATTTACGATATAACCTAAATAGGCTTGCACGTAATTGACAAAAATCAATTCCGTAATTACGGCCAAATCGATTACGTAATGACCCCGTAATTGCGATATTTTTTTCACACATTTAAACCTATCATAACAACCAATTTAATCCACTTCTATTCCGAATGGGACATCGAAGTTTGGTTTTCATATTCCCGGCAGTACTACACGCCGGCGACAGATGTTAAAGACAAATAATATCAAGGAGTGAATTCAAAATAATTTTATTCTGATTTTTATCTTTTGTATTAGCTTTGATTTTCCTTTATCAACTTTATCACCAAATTTTATGCGATCAATTTTATCATTACCTACACTGGTAATATATTTAAGGAACGATAGTTCACTTTTTAAAATCGTATTAACTTATTAATACGACTTTCGTATTAAATAAAAATTCCGGGTTGCTAATTTATTAATCAACTACAAGCGTATTCTCTCGTTTGATTATACTTTCGCTTGCTTCGCGACGAAGACTTGTTATTTCACCGTTTTTTACAACTACTTAGTTAGCATTTTATAAGAATTATTGATGCCGACTTATTGACGATATTCCGAATTCCATGCTCCATTTTACATTAAATCATTTCGCGGCCTAAATGTTATAACATTATTTGCGATAAATTTAGATCAAATAATAATTATTTGCGCATTATTTAAAATACCGTACTTATATGACATGCCTTCTCCGAAAATACAAAGTTATATCGCAAAACAATGCATTTTGTGACATTTATTTTGCACTCATGAAAATATTAATTTATTTTTTTAACTCAAGTCGACAATCCTATTTGCCAAGATTGACACAAGTTTGGTCGAGTGCCAGTGGTGTTCGAGTCGACGATAAATCAAAATAAGTTGCCGCGTTTGGTAAAGACAGGTAATCATATTTGGCCGACATATTGCGAGGCATTGTGAAAAACATATTGAGCAATGCCAAGTCCGGACAGATATATAACGATAAAATCGGTAACAGAACATCAAGATTTTGTAATAGAAAATGGATCTCGCGGAGAATAAACACGGAAAATCCCGTCGTATTGTTGTTTCTCTGCCGTCTCAATCGCTTTACCGATGCCGAAAAGACTACGTTGCGTTGGTTCATTACGCAATTTCTCTTCCGTCTTTATATTGCTGTTTGAAAAGCGCGACATTAATTATCACGGCATTTACAAATAGACCATGTTTTATAAGTTGATCTCTTACATTCTTTAGTCATTTCATCAGAAGAAGTTGAAATCAGGTGTGTTGGCGTCCACCGGTCTCAACACAATTCTATTCCTTATCTACGGTTAATATGTACATTGGCCATCTTAGATAAGTTGATAATAGGTTAGTAAATGACGCGTTATGCCTTCCCCATCTGCCTAACAAGAGAGAGAAAAACGGCTGCGAATACCGGAACTCTAACTTCTTTTACTTAAACTTTAATTTTTTACAATCGACGGAATTGACTGCTCTGAAGAGAGCTCGTTTCAATCGCGAAAGCGCTCGACCAATAATTACGACTTTACGTAATTCGTAACTTCCCTTCCGTAACTCGAAATAATTCCGTAATTCCGTAAATCCGTAAATTACGTGCAAGCCTATAACCTATAAACGTCGAGCTTTCCTCTGCATAAACGCAAGAATAACTTTTTCTGGAATGCAATGGTTGGTCAAATAATCGTAATAACCGATATACAATTGAAATTTCAACTTTGGCTTGTCAACGGATGTTGAAAGATCGTCTTTCACTATGAAAGTAGGTTCCTGTCCTTGGTCATCGCTCACTCCTGATCTTGTAAAATGAAGCTATCGATCTCTGTTTGTAACTCATTTTCAGAAGACACCTCTGCATGCTATGCTGTTTTTAACGCCAATCTGTCTTACTGATGCCGTACTGGTATTCGCGAAACGCCGCTTGTGGTCTAAAGTAGAAGTGACATGATTGCGACCGAATAAGGCGATTTATTCAGTCCGCAATTTTTATTTGTAGCCCTTGTTATGGCGAATCTAGACATATTCAGTTTCGATTTGTAAAAAATATTCTTCTGTATTACACATGGCAATTTTTCGTAGCTTGGAACACTTTTAAAAACAACAATTCTCATGGAAACTCGCGTTTTCCGACTGCCGACCAGACTACCTAGCTGTAAAACTTGGTAATTACAAATTTCAGAACCCCCGATTGAAAAATTTCTTTCCACGCCTTGTCATGTGTGATAAATTGCGTAGTCAATGCTGGATCGGAAACCTTGATTCCTTATCATATTCCTCATTTTATTCGAAGCAAATTAGTTATCAGTTCAACTAATATGTCTACTGGTTTTATTTTGAAGTAAAGAGATAGCATTGGGATATGGCAAGCCGTGAGACGAGTAAAACGGAATCATGATTTTTTTTCCAAGTTCAGTCCAAACGTTATTGATTATATCCCCCATTTATACAAGCAAGAACTGGTAGGTTTTGCCAAACAAGTCAAACTTGTTTCAATTCTGTAAACGCTATGAGACAAAGTATCTAGAAACTTCAACTCACTTTCTTAGAAATAACGCTTCTACTGATGATTCCAACTTCATCCTTTCCTACGTTCCTTTCCAACACCACTTCATCAACGTAAGATTCCGTGAATTTTGTAACAGAAGCAAATAATTCAGCATTGAGTTCGTTGCCCAGGACAAACTTCTTGACCTATGTATACATAACGGCAATTTTCAATTCAGTGCTGCTAAATAAAATGTTTGATATGACTCCTCGCTACGGGCTGAAACAATCGATTCCAATATAAATATTTTCAATCTTGAAAGGATTTGCAGTTTCAATTAAAATTATTTCCATGATTCGATGATCGTAGACAGCAGGAAATTAAAAAAAATAAAACTCCAACACCAGCAATCATTGACGAACAGCTACTTTGCAGTTTTGCTAATCACAGACTGAAATAATTTTATCAAGCTGTTATAAAAATGAATCGATGCCATGTGATGGATTCAAAACGAATCCAACTTATTCGCATCAGTCCCATATATTTTATTATGGCCATCCAGTGGTGAGTTGTCCTAGCATCGGTATTAATTCGATTGCAATGTTAATTGATGAGGTGTCTGAATAAAACTCTTTATGAAAATAAAAATAAGGCGTGAACCAGGGATGCACAAACTTTTCTCGTTAAACGACGACCGCATTATGTTTTCGTAAAAGATGTACGGCCGCCAATGAGACCGAGATTATTTATGAGCTATTATTTATTATAGAATTAGTATCTGTTATTGACTTGCGTCTGAAACGTTCATTTAATGGTGAAATTTAAACAAATCTAAGAAATAAAAGCGCTTATTGATTATTTTTTGTTATCGAATCAGATAATTTAAAGGTCGTTGAGAGCGCAAAGCTTTTTTAAAATTGCTGGCTTCACTTTGTGACATAGCCAAATTTAACAATTGAATTTCGGTGCTAAAAGCCATAGCACAATATCGATGTTGTTATGTTGTAGGTCGACCCAATTGAAATATTAGGTCTAACAGAGATAAATCAATAAAAAAAGACATTTCAAATTCTCGTATTGGTCATCGATTAAATAATTTTAGCAACCAAAAAAATCATTATTTGCCAAAAAAAATATGGCTTTTTTAACAAGCTTCTTCGCGAGCAGGGTCTCGAATAGTAACTTCTTTACATAAACGCCGAAAAAAATCCAATTTCATATGGAATGACGAAATACCGCTTAACAAATATACAAAAAATATTTACAACTGTCATTTATTTATGATCGTGATCAAATATTTTCATTACAGACACAAGTACTGCTATGGTTTCCCGTAAAAGTCAAGCGCCAACATAAAACATAAATCATTCAACAGTAACACACACACCAGCACGGTTGCCCATATTATCTTCGACAGCCGCAGGTTGTGCACCCCTGGCGTGAACAATTATAATAAGTGATGACGATTTCAGTCAAAGATATTTTATGCAATTCTCTACAATTAGAAGTAAATGAATCAAATGAAAAGCGTGAACTGCGTAAGTATAAAGGCAAGAGTGAGCCAAACAAGGTAATTTTGGCCATTAACAATTGCAACAATGGAGGATAACGCGGTGTTGATAAATCATCGCGAAGACTGAAATAAACAAACCTTGAGCTGGGAATCCTTCAGATTCGACATCATGATATCAAATAGCTCTGTGGTGAGATTGCATTCGGAGAAACGCAGAAGATTTAGATTTCCACTTCGACGCATAACTGACGATATTGCCAGCATTCCACTGGGATTGATTGTTGCTTCCTTGAAATCGATATCACGAACGTGGGATCGAATCAATTCATCGTCATTCGACTCGTACAAAGCTCCGAACAATTCCATCAAAGCGGTTGAATCGTTTGTTTCCTTCAGTTGTTCGTTCAAGCTACCTCTCAGTATTTCTTCTTTTGCTTTCTTATCTTTAACTATAAAACATGCATTGAGAATGTCTTGCCACCCCCTGACTGACACAATACAACCATAAGTTTTGAACTAAGATTTATTGAGAAATAATGAATGTTGAATAAGAATGTACTGTCAAGAATTCATAGTATTAATATACCGGTACATTAAACCAAATATAAAAATGTTAAATTTTATTAATCAGAAGTTTTTCTTCTTAAATTGTAAAAAATAGGGAATTTCAAATACCATTATTTAATTTAATACTTCCAATAAAAGTAATCAGTAATTTATTTTTCCACCAATACTGAAAACATGTTTAAAATGCATGTTCTTTTCGTACAAATCAGGATTTGGTCTCGTTCGAAACTATCAGACCTAACGCAGTACACAATCTTCATGAGGCAAATTGACGTCAAGTAGCACTATTTCACAGGTTCGGCATTTTGTTATTCAATTACAAACGCATTGCAGGACTTTTTCTATTTTGACAACTGGGCAGCCAATAGTTTTTTCAACAATGTGGCGCAATAACAAAAATACCATAAATTATAGTTTAAAATATACCGCCTATCATAAATTTAGCTGAAAAGCTCAAGTACACTGCAAATATCCTTAAATCCTCTTACACAGCGCTTCGTGGTCCGCGGCCGTCTGGTGGGCCGTCAAGCATGTCATAATGGGCTGTGAACTCGTTGACAAATGATAGTTTTTTTCTATATATTTTGTTATAGGATTTGGATTATTTCAACTTTTTAATAGAATAGCCATACTTTCTAATGAGGATCCCAGTCGATTCCATTAATGAAGGCGCTCATACAAAACTATCGGATGCGTCTGTTACCATCCATGTTATTTATACGATGGTGGTATTTGAAAATAGTAATGTATTTATTTTTCCGTAAGTATGAAAACATGAACAAAAATTATTTTAATGGAGCAGTTTACCACACATTTGATGTCTGCAGATTGCTTAGTATTTTAAGTAAGCTTTCTTGCCTATGTCGGCGCAACCAAAAACAACGTTGGAAAAAATTAAGTTAATATACGGTACGGTATTTTAAAGCTGGCATCGGTCATGAATTTGAATATTTTATGAAACAAGAAATCATCCTTATAAAGTTCGATACTTTTTACAACCATTATCAAAATTATATGCCAAAAAGCGGGAAAAAGTATAAACTATTTTTGGGTATCGTAACAATTAAGGCTTTACATAATTTCCACTATTTGGACGTACTGGAAATCAATGCGTAAACAAGAAGCCTTGCCAGGAATAGCGACAATGCCCACCATGCAAAGGTGTAGCAACCATATGCACGCCATCTCACAAAGAAGGTAACGATCAATGTTCCGATTATGTTATATCATTATTACAATACGTGAAAATGCAGAAAATCACCTATCTGCCAACGAAAAGTGACTAATATTCGAAAATTTGCGAAAATATATTCGAATACTTCGAACTGACTTTGATATTTGAATACATTCAAATATTCGATTCGTTTTGAACAATCCTGCCTTGACCTAATTTAGCCTTAAAAAAAACATTAATAAAAGTGGGCCGCGATATGAAAAAGGTTGAGAAGCACTGCTCTTATGTTTAAGTGACTTTTGGAGTTTGCGCCGCTTGTTTGAGGTTGAATGTGAAGAAGAACATGTGTGTTAGAACAAGCATTATGAAAATTTCAAAGTATTTTTAAGCAAATTTTAAAGACATTTTGCATAAGTGCAATTACGTGACACGAGTGCCAATATTTGACATGCAAGAGACGGAGGCTAGAAACTAAAAAAGCCTTTAATTGGGAAATTAGTTTTATAAGAGACCAAATCCAGCTTTGTACTAATGGTTAAATGCAACAACATCTTACTTTGAAGCATTTGTGAAGGCCAGTCTATTGCCAAAGCTGGGTTGAGAAGAATTCCGCACAAGAATTTGCGAACAACCGACCAATGATCTTGATGAATGAACTCGTTCACGAATTCTTCAAATTCTCCCACTCCCATTTCTGATACGAACATGGCGGCAAGGTTTTCTTCAATTACTTGGTGCGAGAAATATATTTGTTGGGTTCCTTCAAGCAGGCAATGACTCGCCTTTGTGCGGCCTGGAACTTTGATAACCAGGTCTTGAATCGAATCTGGATCTATTCCAAACTTCAGTAATTCGTCTTTTGTAAAAACGACTCGACCTTCGCTCATTGCTCGGAAAGCCATTTCTTTCAACTTGTGCAGAACCTGCTTATCTCTGACATGCTGGGATTTCAGAAGAATATCAAGGATCTCCAACATAACTCCTGTCATGGTATCTGGTGGATTTTCCGGGTTGAACTTCTGAACAATGGCGTTGTATACTAAAAATACTGGGACCGAAGACAGAGGAATAATTGCAGGAGAGGTTGAACACATCCGATTCCATTGCTGTTGGCCGATATCACCAAGGAGTGCGATGAATAACCTCTTGACGTCATCTGGGCTCAAACCTACTAAAGCATAGATTAGCTGGGGTCGAAGATCAACAGTGAGAGCAGCTATGCTATGCTCGCGAGAGGAGATGACAATTTTAACTCTGGGAAAAAGATGACCAATGATAACGTTGTACATCACCGTCGGTGTACTGGATTTTTCGTTGTGATTTATCTTGGGATGATGTCCGCCAGGAGACCAAGTCGCCTGATCCAATCCATCAAAGAAAAAAATGACCTTTTCCTGATTTTCAATGATCCACTCATATCCATATTTTTGGCTTTCCTCACTCAAATCAGTGATATTACCGAAAAGCAATTCCATTGCAGTAATTGAATCCGATTCAAGGAGATCGCGAATGTTGACAAAATAAATAATCTCAAAAGTAAAACTTTTTTTAAACCATTTTTTGAAAATTATTTTTGATGAATTTTTACACGAAGCATGGACCAAGCGCTTTGTAAATGTTGTTTTTCCACTACCGGCCTGCCCGACGATTGCAATGAGCCTATTTTTCTGTGAATGGAAACTTTGGATCAATTGCTCCATAGTAACAAATTTCCCTTCGCTAATGTTATCCACCAAAGCACTAAATTCGGCATCTTTACAATATTCTTTTGTTTTCAGCGCCATTTCACCTCCGAAAAAATGCGACAATTCCCTAATACGTGGATTTGTTTCAAACTCAGGTTCAACCAGCCTTTGATCCTTGTACAATCCAGTAATCGAATCCTTTGACTTCCAATATGCATCGCGATTGACTACTTTTTTAAATTTAGCCACTTGCTTTCCTGAAAATAGTTGTAAATGGAATGAGTTGAGTATACGACAAATATTGCTTTATTGTTTTGTTCACCATGACGCTCCAGATGTTTAATATTTGCATCTGAGCAAACCTGCATAAACGGGGTGTTGTGTAAAATGGAATGAAGAGTTTTAAAAATTTAATGAAGAATTTTTGGAATATACTGTGGAGTTTTGATATTTTTGCGATACGACATGCCATCAAATTTTGCGCATTGGCCAGGTATTCGGCATTCCAATTTTTATCTTTCTGATGCGATTGGGAATAACAAAGAATAAAAACAAATAAAATGTCTTCTTCAAACTTTTTGCAGATTTTTTGAGAAGTCCTTCATGAACTTTATTTAAGAAGGAAAGAAGAGTCAGTGTGCTAGAGTTGGAATTCATTTGGCTGTTTAAAGAACATTCTGCATCGTTTGTCTGAATTTCATAATTTTGCAATTTTACGTAGAATAACAGATGAGCCAGCAAATGATAAACAGCTAGTCGTTGTCTCACTGCAATCAGAGATTTTGTACATGGCGTTGTACCTTATCAAATACCAATACCTTTATTCAATTACAATTGATAAGGTTGCAATCAGAAGAAACCATACTACGATGATACAAAAACAATAAGCCGTTGACCTGATGAACTTTTAAGGCACGAGACCAGACAAAGCACTTGATGATTCAAATCTTATTTATACTTTACATGATTTTGATTACTCAGTTATATGGCGAGCCATGTCAGGCATGAGATTAGTTAGTTAGTATAACGGATCAAGCTAGGACCATATATAACTGATGATATTGGATCTAGCTAGGCTTTTTTTTAATGAATGGACCTGATGGTGGAGGAAGTCGTAAGCGACCATTCACTATTTGAAACAAAGATATTTACAATTTGGTAAATGTGTTTGTTAACTGTAACATTTGAATTCCATTATATCTTAGGCTTGTACAGAATGTTTGTTATAATTGCAGACACATAGTGATATCCCCGGATGTTCATTTTAAAACGTTTAATTTAAAAACAATCGAATATGAAAATAAAAGTGTTATTGATTTATTTTCTATGTTGTAATAGCTGTTGATAATTTCATAAAAAATCTTTAATATTATCAGTGTCTCCCCATAGCTAAATACCGTTAATAGTAATAGTTAAAAACCTAATCAGTCGAATTAGCTAACTGGTAGCCCTAAGTTCGGTACCCAGTAAGTAGCCCTTCGGCTTCATAAAGGTTGGTGACCCCTGGTGTAATTTTAATCATATATCATATCTCGACATATTTATGTTCATATCTAATAATAACTAAATGATTGTTTGAAAATGTTCGAAATTGGTCTTCAATTAATTTGAAAATAACAATCGGTTACACGTAAGTTGGTTTGTAATCTCCAATATCTTGATGTACATTCATTTTCTTTCGCTAGTTGGCGCTATGAACCAGCTTATCGAGTGGTTACTGCACAACAAACACTTTGTCAAAGTGACGCCAGCGGACCGCATACTGCAGAATGCTTGAAGTTTCTGATGGTGTTTTTACATCGGCCTGAGAGTGTTGTCTTAGGATTTATAGCCAATGAGCGACTTATGTTTTGAGTGATAATTATTTGTATTTATATTTATTTGTACTATTTATAAACAGTGTGTCATTGATATTTCTCACATTGATCATTGTAATATTGTTAAATTATTCAGTCTAGTTATTGTGATTCTAAGTTCAAGTTGCTGCTTGACGGCTCTTGAGAACACAATGTCAGGTAAGTTTATATGCGGAATTTTATATTCTAAGTTGCACTAGTGCACTAGTATTTATTTGTATACATTAGTTTGTATTTGTTTTTCTGTCGGGTGTTAAGGTGCCGGCAGAGGTGGTTTGTTTATTATATTCGTTAGTGTTTTTATATTTGGTCGTTAGGTATTTATTGTGTGGTGTAGTGATTATATTTAAGTTTGTTTACATTAGTATAGACTGAGCCAACTGATAAGTACTGCTTCATCCTCGTTTGTGTATTTTTTTTTTCAGTATTTCAGAAACCCGTACGAATGTACCGGTACTGTTTGTAACACAACAGGAAATGAAACATCTTAGGCAGATACAGTGATAATACGCATCTTTTGAGCAGCGCAACCTGGGGCCCCTTTCGCCAAACTTCGTAAAAAGCCGGGTTTACGAGAACGTAACCTTGTCTTTCAAAAATGCAACAGCAAAATCTCGTTTAGTTCTTTTCAAGAAATATCTCGTAAACACTTGACGCACGGTTAGGTTTGTTCTCTCGAAATCTTACGCACAATAGTCGTTGAACAAAATCACCGTCTCACTCGGCCGTATCAAAACAAGCATATTTTGCGACGACCCGTAGGCTTTCTATGCCTTACATTTTCTGCAGCCTGTGTTTTAGAATTTGGGTCATATAGCAGTAATCTATAGATGCATAAAATAAATGCTGAAGTACTACTTGTAATTCGATATTGAATGTTAGTACCGGTATCTATTGCTTCATTGAGATAGTCTGTGTATTGGATGTGACTGTGAGCCGATACCTGTAGCTGTACTCCAGTGAATTGTAAATTATCCCATCAGAATAGACATATATGGTTGGATCAACAGCTACTCTACAGATACTAGACTACTGTCACTCTTACCCAAGTTAAGCTTTGAGGGACTTTTGATATTGTGCCGATTTTTCATGAAGTATGCTAACACCGCAGCAAGACTATTTTTACTTGAATCTACATTTAGAGCAAGCTGAACTAGTAACGAGGAAGATTTAGCCTCGTTAGTTTACAAGCACTCCAGAGTACCAATTCTACGTAAAATGCCATTTTTTGCCTTTTCGAGAGAGTTGGTGCCTTACTAACACTTAAACCAGGGGTTCTCAACCTGGGGTTCGCAAACCCCAGGTGTTCACGACAAGATTTCCAGGGGTACAGGGAAGGCAATCGATTTTTTGTTTGTTGCTGGTTTTAATATGTTTTATTACTACCAGAGGAAAATGCGTGATTGTTGTGATTGTGACGCAACAATGTGAAAATAACGGCTTCGCACACAAAGACAAACTGAAATCTTTAAGACTGCTTGCTGTGAGCATTGGAGAAAGTAATTATGCTTTTTAAAACTTAGGAAAAATTTTAGGAATTCATTAGTTAGGCAGACGACAAAGGCAATAATATCAACGCGAAAATTTGATTTAGTTACATATGGTCAATAAATTGTTGTTGCAACAAATTGTTAGGCAATATGTCACAATCTCGTTCGATGCCTGTTTACGGGGGTTCGCGTTAATTGTTTCGTGACTCGCGGGGGGATACTTGACAGAAAAAAGGATGAGAATCCCTGTGTTGAACGATAAAGAAGTTTCGCAAATGGAGCCCCAGGCTTCAAAAGCATTGGCATCAGGATATCCAATCACCCTATGTAGGGAGTCCACGATCCACAAGTGAGATTTTATCAAGTCCTACATCAACAGTTTTTATCACACACAAAGTAAATACAAAACTGAAGCCAGACTCACGTTTTTGGAAGAAGTTTTTAGAAGATGATTTTCCTGAACCTAGATGAAAAATAACGAAATTTTATTTGATGTTGCTAATGCGTTTATAGTAGAATTTATAGGACTGTAGAGAACGAAGCAACTGTGACTCAGTGAACCCGAATGATAATTTCACATAAGCTAAGCCAGCGGATTGCAACCTTTAATGCAGGAGGGCCCGTACTCCCGAAGTATGTGAACCAAGATGGCGGATACCGGAGAATAGTATGTGAACCAGGTTGGGCCATAATTTCAGGTATAAATACTATGGGAGTCACTTGGTCAGCCCATAGAATTAAAATAAGGAAAATTGGAATCAAATTATGGTATAAACTTAATCTGGTACACATGCTACGTTTCGGTGTCCGCCATCTTGGTTCATATACTTCTGGAGGGTCAGATACAAATAACTGACTGGGTGAAACTATGCCCTGTGCATAGGTTTTCATCAGTAGATTGCACAAAAATTATTGATCTTATAACATGCGTTGTTTGCTTCGCGCAAGTTATCGGTTAGGGCACTGTAACGCCATATGCAACAACACGACGCAATTGTGTTCCGCAGGCCTCACATCACTCAAAACTGACAATTCAGGTAACTGATCTGACCAAATTGAAAAGAGAAAACTTTACTATAGTAGAAATTTTTAATTTGAAAAAGCAAAATGCATTCATGCTCTGAATGACCTGAAATCTTTTTATCCTCCCGAACGGTGACTGCCTGCCCGGCACCATCTGCTGCTGCCTTTGACCGAACTGGGGTCTGCTGTGCCTGACCAATCCATCTCGATGTTGATGGCGCTAAGGAGCCGGCTGATGCCTCAGCTTGTCCTACAAAAAATATGAACAAACATTTAATATTGATTTATATACCCTCTGAAATTGGAACTTCACCATCTCTGTTTTGAAATTTGACAGGATTACAATACACTATGGAATCGTGGTAACTGATCTCACCAAATTGAAAAGAAAAAACTTTTTTACATTAGAAATTCCAATTTGAAAAAGCAAAATGCATCTATGCTCTAAATCAGTAGTTCTCAACCTTTCTACCATGGCAGACCGGTAAAATTAAATTAAATGTACTCGCGCACAGGCAAAAAAATGAAATGACCGGAACAGAAAAGAATAACACATATTTGCGTAAGATATTTCTGGCACTCAATATGCCTCTAGACAAAAAGGCACATTCAAAAACATTTGACACGAAGAAAAACTATCAAATAATGTACCGGCCAAAAATTGAACATTAAATAATACCATATATTTGGGTATTGAAATGAGGTGCTGTGCACCCATTATGCGTAAGAAGGGCACGCATAAAATATCTCACATAAAAAAATGTACACGCCAAATCATGTACAAACACAATTGACTCTAGTGACAATTTTGCTGCTGTTTCGTTTCCAATTTAGAATTGCAAACGAGGCCCCAAAGGAGTTTCTGCAACATGTAGCCTTACAGCGGCGTGCAGCCAATTTCTTAGCTTTTTTTTAATTAAATCTGGCGATGTAAATGTTTTTTTGCATAACGCAGTAACTGGTTGATAATACACAATAGTTTGATTGCTCGATTACTCAAAGATGCGTATTCGTTATCAAGAGATATCCAAAATTGTGACAGTGTTTCTTTTTTAAATCTGAACTGTAAAGGAGTATTACAACTTCAATAAAGCCTTTCCTATTCAATTTGGTTCATCATATTAATCCCTCCGCAGTTGATCGAGGTCTCAAACAAAACTAATTTACATTTCAATGACAAAGTCGTCGGTAACTTGGGAACAGGCTGAAAATCCAACTGTCTGTTCAAAATACTAGAAATGATTTCTGCGACCCATGCTTTTTTGACTGGTTCGTGACCACCTGCGAGGTTGCAATAAGTTCATATCTTACTGGAATATTTTACTGTTCTTGACTGTTTTCTGGTTTAAACAAATAAATATGCCTAACGTTTTTTATGGATGGTCCGATTAATCAGGAAATGCACGCAGAACAATAAAAAGCACGCGTGCCTATTTTCAGGTTTCTGAAACTTGCAAAGTTTGATGGAGCGCATCCGCGATGAATCAGAGCCGAAAAAGCGAAAAGTGTGATTTCTCGGCGCCAAGATGTCGTGAAAGACGCCGAAATATGACGTCGGAAGAGAAATTGCGTAATGAACCAACGCAACCTCGTCTTCAGTGAACCGATTGAGACGTGTCATAAAAACAACAAAATTTCTTGCGGACCTGACGAAATGCTTTACCGACCGGCAGTTGGGAACCAATCACTGCTCTTAATTACCTGAAATCTTTTTATCCTCCCGAACGGTTACTGCCTGCCCGGCATCATCTGCTGCTGCCATTGACCGAACTGGGGTCTGCTGTGCCTGACGGATCCAACCCAATGTTGATGGCGCTAAGGAGCCGGCTAATGCCTCAGCTTGTCCTACAAAAAATAAGAACAAACATTTAATATTTTTTTATATATTCTCTAAGATTGGAACTTCACCACCTCTGTTTTAAAATTTTACAAGGTTATACTGGGGAGAGGAAAGCTGATAAAACGGATCAATCGTATGGCAAACCACGGTTTCTTGTCTGATTACCAGCCAAATTTAGTTTTGCGATTAGTTAGCCAATTATTTGCTTTCGGACTTGATACATAACATAGTAGTAGTAGCAGTAGTAGAAGTTGGTTATTAATCTAAATTGTCAATGATTCGCAAAATTTTACCTTGTGGGCTCATTTGCCGCAGGTTACACAGCCCATTTATATACTATGCCAGGGGTTGGCAACCTTTTGCACTGAGTGTGCCATTTTAGGAACAATGAGCACTTTCGCGTGCCAACCTTTTTATATGTTTGGTTCGCATATTCAACTATATTAACTATAATTGATATAATTGTGTTAAGCGTAACTCGCGGTTGCGTCTTCTTACGACAAAATATAAACATTCCTTGTGTAAAATATCGCTCAGTCTGTTGAAGTGAAAATATAAGATAAACATGCCTAGTTGTATTTAGTTTCGATACATTTTTGTGATCTTGCGTATTCGTTATTGCCGTTAGAAAAATTTTTGAGATCTGTAATAAAATTCGGTGTAGTACAATTAAATACATACAAAGTATATATATTAGTAAATCGAAAATATATATTTATTGCCTCGAAATCTCCTCGGAACGACTTTTTCGACGGATAATAATTATATTTTGGTGTGCAAAGTAATCAATCAATGACCGATATGGTCATATTTAAAATGTCTCGCTTTATTTAAATTTACTTGTCCTCAATTTAACCTGGGTTTGCGTCGGCAAAATACATCCCTCACTACCCTAAAATACCACGGAAATCTAGGTGTCAAAAGGTGTGGTAAGCTTCCAGGTTATATATAGTTCTGATCCGTATTTTTGCCATTTTGACAATTCGACAAATCTGAGCTGTACTTGCAACAATGACTTCGCTCTATAGAAATGCTGCCAGTCAGAATATTTTTGACATAAAACCGTTAGAAAAATTCGACAAATCTGAGCTGTACTTGCAACAATGACTTCGCTCTGTAGAAATGCTGCCATTCAGAAAAATTCGACAAATCTGAGCTGTACTTGCAACAATGACTTCGCTCTGTAGAAATGCTGCCATTAAGAATATTTTTGACATAAAACCGTTAGAAAAATCCCTAGGTCTAATATAAAATCTCACGGAGTAAAATTTATTTTAGTACAACAAAAATGAGTTCAATATACTTTAATTAATTATCTTATATATCACCACCACTCGGGGAAAAGCCGCGTTTCCAACCTTATAGTATGTATCATATAATATTAGCATGAATATTTCCGACGGCAATACATAAAAAATCCAAAATCCACGCACAATTAACTGTGTTGCGATTCTAGTGACGTTATGATTCTCAACGCCGCCCAATTCTATGTGTTCCGTAGACACAAGAAATTTCGCAATTCACAATGCCCAGAGAAGCGTTTTTAATCTCACGCAGACCTACAACAAATTGTTTACGTTATTTTTTTTAGTGTATTTTTTATTGCCGATTCTAAATCAAAATTTAGCGTCACCGATTCCCTTCTTTATTTGACTTAGGCATCTCACCGCCGATGAATGTACAATAACTGTCAGCGAATTCACAATTCTGGGCGAGTGCAAAGAGGAAGTCATTATTATGGTTGTCGTGAAATAATTTTTGTGATTCAGGGAGAGTAAACACAAACTCAAATGTTTTTACGGCCTAAATAACATGTCATTGACAAAAACAATCGGCTATTTTAGCAGAGAGCTGTAAGAATTGCCTCAAAGTATGAATTCAAAAAATAATATTCAATATTTCACGATTCTTAAAGGGCAAAAGGTAATCCAACATTAGTATAAAAAACACAAGTAGTATAACGAGTAGTTTTATGTAGCGAAGAGTTTCCGAAGGTAGCCAAATCTGGCAACGCTGGAGCGCACAAATTTTGGTCTCTAATCTATTCATTGCTTTTCCGAAAGTAGCGAAATGTGGCAACTTTCCACCGCACACGCTTAACTACTCTAATTTCGCTTATAGATTTCGGCCTTTCGTCGATTGCAGTTAAATATTGCATGTTTTTTCAATGAATTTGTTGAATTGCTATTCTTTGTTCAAATGTAGAATATTTGTCGCACTACAAAATAAATAAATGAATCTGCCTCAAATCACTTGGCGTGCCATGAGAAATTATCTCGTTCTCCAATTGTGGCATGCGTGCCAGAGGTTGCCGACCTCTGTACTATACCAATGACAGCATAATCCTACACAAAATTTGTAGAATAAATGATTCAGACCGTATGAAATAAATGAATCTAACATACCGGATAGAACGTATTGCACAACTATATTTTCGACATGAATGTTTTCTGCCTTCATATCCCCAACAACAGCATCGGCAATGTTGGTTTCTAGAAAAGTAAATTTTATATTTATGCAATACATTGAACTAATATCTTGAGTTATTACATTTGACATATTGTCACATTTGTATTAGATTCATGAACGATTGCCTGGGAGTTAAGCTTTACTATATTTCTATCAACTGTCTTGGTTATTTCAAGTAAATTGCTCTGAGAAGTTAGCTGTGGTGGCGTAAGTTACATTTGACTAACCATTTCCAGACAACTGTGGATATGTGTGTTATTAGGCAAAAGCTCGGTAGAAAACCTAGAGTAGGTATATGCATTTGTCATGAACATTTACTGAGTACCGAATGATAATGATAATGAATTTTATAACCTTGTTCTTGACAAAAGACTTTGAAGCAACTTTACCAGTTATATTTTGTTGCAGAGTCTCTGCCGATATGTGAGCTTCGTTTGCCGACACATTTGACTCCACTGTGAACAGTTTTTGTATTTTTTTATGAGTTGGATGAGGAAAAACAGAAATTTAACTTTGTATCCGGATAGTTTTAGATTACTTTGGTAATAAGCTAATTGGGGTATTTATCCACGTATAATACGCACATTCAACACTTAATTTTCTTTCAAAATTTGAATGTTTTTAAGAATTTGGAAGAAGTCGCAAATCACAGATTTTGAACCCTTTTCTGTAAAATATATAGAAAGCTTTTAAACAATCATACCAGTTATGTTGGTTTGTTGCAAAGTCTCTGCAGAGATATGAGCGTCTGCTGCAGAGAGAGTTGCCTCTACTGTTTGAACAGTTGCCTTTTGCAACGCTATTTCTGTATGTTCAGAGATCACCGAAACATCTCTCGCACTTTCTATGCTCATATCTTGAACAGCAGCCCCGGTAATGCTGGCTTCTGGAAATGAAAAGAACAGATTTCTTTAATAATGGTTGCAAAATCAGCTTTTGCAATCCGACCTTTTTTCGATTTTATCATGGTTCTATTACTTCGTGATGTCTAGTGCGTATCCAAGCATGCTTGAAAAATAAACTACTGTTTACTAACTGAGGCTCGGTAGGAACGTTCATTCCAGCTAAACCTTGACTCCGAAAATGTATCGAATGTTAGAAACAGAATTTCCATGAATAGGGATGTTGTGATAGACAAGAAAAGGAATATATTAAAAAAGATGGCGAATCACTGGTTTAGAACCTTTTTCCGCAAAATATATAGAAAACATTAAACAATCATACCTGTTATGTTGGTTTGTTGCAAAGTCTCTGCAGAAATATGAGCTTCTGCTGCAGAGAGAGTTGCCTCGACTGTTCGGACAGTTGCCTTTTGCGACGCTATTTCTGTATGTTCAGAGATCACCGAAACATCTTTCGCACTTTCTATGCTTATATATTGAACAGCAGCTCCGGTAATGCTGGTTTCTGAAAATAAATAATAGATTACTTTAGATGACTCAGAACCATGACCCCGAATCCACACCCAAATTCCCATTATTTGGTGTTATCTAATGTCAGTAGAATTTATTTTTTGTATTTCTTTATAAGTTCGACGACTAAAAATTAACTTGCCGACTAATAAATGATTATAATACTTCTAAGGGATCAGATCAGTCTAGTTAATTTTACGGAAAACTATAAATTATGATGTAATCATGAAATCTCCTTGAAATATGAAAGCACGATATAATGCCCTCCGACAATCGGAGCAACTTTTGACAACTCCATGGAAAAAGTTTATTCCCCGCCGTTCAAATACGCGAAACACACCACTTAGCTTTCTATCGAAAGGTTTCATTAGTCGTCTTGCGAGCGAGATTACTAGAGAGAGGCATCTAGACTTCCTTTCGTTACAAGCACTCTCCAAATAAAAATTTCCGAAAATTTTCGAGTCTTTGCTTCAAATTGTGCCGACTATAGTAAATATAGTAGTGATACAAGAGAATTGTCTATTTCAGTGTGTTGTGTTCAACCTCCCTATTCAAATAAGCCTTGAATGACAAGTGAGATATAAACCAGACTTGAGATATCGATCCGATATTATCGCTCAGTTGTAAACACAGCGTGTTATTTACTATAATATAGGACGTCATATACAGTCTTCTGTTCACGCTAAAACACTATTGAGATATAATTTGAAAGTATTTATTCAGTCTATTTGTGTGGGACTATTTTCTGAGTGATAGCTGGCTTTTTGAAATTTCAGGGGGTGGGTCAATGACAATTTGAAACAAAATTTTGGGATGGAACCTTTCATTTTTCGGTGTGCTATAGTATACAGTGATGCACTATAAAAGATTTGTATATTTCCCTGCACTGGGGTTTACTAGCTCATTTCAACGAGACATCTTGAATCGAAATGAAACGAGATATGTCTTTGTAGTAGTTCGCCATCTACACTCTATGACGTCACAACCATCTTTCAATGTGCATTGCGTGGTTATATTATCACCATGGTTCGTTTAGAATACCATGACATCCCTTCTTTCTACGTAAACACTATTTCCTTGTGTAAATATAAACAGTGACACATCTGCAGGTTGCGGAATATAACTTAGATACATTTGCCCTGCACATAGCAAAGATTTTGTCATACTGAAACTCATTGTATGAATTTCAAGCGTGTATATAAAATTCAGAATCACTGCCTTCTTTTCTTTCATCACGTGGTTTCTCGTTCGAATGCAAAGCTTACCAATTATTACTAGATCAAACCTGTTATGGGCATAAGTAATAAATACCAACACACTACAATCAGACCTGGTCAACACACAGAAAAAATTCTCAATAATCCGCGCTGAATCAAAATTTTGTAAAGCTGACGACTTGGGGCTGATTTGACACCTAAAGGATGTGTAATTAACAATTTAGAAGCATGCAATCAGCACTTTAGGATCCGTTATGAATCTGGGGTAAGGGGGGTCTTCTATATTCCACATTTAGGAGGGAGAAAGGTTAGTCAGCGATTCGCAACTAAGGAGTTTTTTCACATAGAAGAAAAACAGAAATGTTACTTTGTCTTCAGATAGTTTTAGATTAATTTATTAATAATCTAATTACAGTATTTCTCCACGTATAATAATACCACATTCAAAGCTTAACTTTTTTTGAAAATTTGAAGAGATACTTAATAACAGAAGGAATATATCAGAAAAAGTGTGAAGAATCACTGGTTTTGATCCCCTTTCTGTATAACATAAAGAAAGCTTTTAAACAACCATACCAGTTATGTTGGTTTGTTGCAAAGTCTCTGCCGAGATGTGAGCTTCGGTTGCCGACACATTTGCCTCCACTGTTTGAACAGTTGCCTTTTGCGACGCTATTTCTGTATGTTCAGAGATTACCGAAATATCTTTAGCACTTTCTATGCTCATATCTTGAACAGCAGCCCCGGTAATGCTGGTTTCTGGAAATAAAAATTACAGATTTCTTTAATAAAAATGGAAAAAATCAGTATTTTCAATCCGACCTTTTTCCATTTTATCATGGTTCTATCAATATGATTATGTCTAGTGCGTATCCAAGCATGCTGGGGAAAAAAACTACTGATTACTAACTGAAGCTCGGTAGGGACGTTCATTCCAGCTAAATCTTGACTCCGAAAATGTATCGAATGTTAGAAACAGAATTTCCATGAATAGGGAAGTTGTAATTGACAAGAAAAAGAATATATTAATTAAGATGGCAAACTACTGGTTTAGAACTTTTTTCCGCAAAATATATAGAAAACATTAAACAATCATACCAGTTATGTTGGTTTGTTGTAAAGTCTCTGCAGAAATATGAGCTTCTGCTGCAGAGAGAGTTGCCTCTACTGTTTGAACAGTTGCCTTTTGCGACGCTATTTCTGTATGTTCAGAGATCACCGAAACATCTATTGCACTTTCTATGCTCATATCTTGAACAGCAGCCCCGGTAATGCTGGTTTCTGGAAATAAAAATTACAGATTTCTTTAATAAAAATGGAAAAAATCAGTATTTTCAATCCGACCTTTTTCGATTTTATCATGGTTCTATTACTATGATTATGTCTAGTGCGTATCCAAGCATGCTGGGGAAAAACTACTGATTACTAACTGAAGCTCGGTAGGGACGTTCATTCCAGCTAAATCTTGACTCCGAAAATGTATCGAATGTTAGAAACAGAATTTCCATGAATAGGGAAGTTGTAATTGACAAGAAAAAGAATATATTAAAAAAGATGACAAACTACTGGTTTAGAACTTTTTTCCGCATAATATATAGAAAACATTAAACAATCATACCTGTTATGTTGGTTTGTTGCAAAGTCTCTGCAGAAATATGAGCTTCTGCTGCAGAGAGAGTTGCCTCTACTGTTTGAACAGTTGCCTTTTGCGACGCTATTTCTGTATGCTCAGAGATCACCGAAACATCTTTTGCACTTTCTATGCTCATATCTTGAACAGCAGCCCCGGTAATGCTGGTTTCTGAAAATAAATAATAGATTACTTAGATGGCTCAGAACCATGGCCCCGAATCCACACCCAAATTCCCGTTATTTGTTGTTATGTAATGTCTGTAGAATTTATTTTTTTGTATTTCTTTATAAGGTCGGCAAATAAAAATTAACTTGCAGACTAATAAATGATGAATAGAATACTTCTAAGGGACCTGATCACTCTAGTTAATTTTAGTGCAAGATAAAAGATCTGATCTGATCATGAAATCTCCTTGAAATATTAAAGCACGATATATTAGGTCAGCATTTCGCATTTGAGAAGTTTTTTCACATAAAGGAAAAACAGAAATGTTACTTTGTATTCAGATAGTTTTTGATTACTTTGGAAATAATCTAATTACAGTATTTCTCCACGTATAATACCACATTCAAAGCTTAATTTCATTGGAAAATTTGAATGTTTTCAAGAATAGGGAAGAAGTACTTAATAATAGAAGGAATATATCAGAAAAAATGTGGAGAATCACTGGTTTTGAACCCATTTTTGTAAAATATATAGAAAGCTTTTAAACAATCATACCAGTTATGTTGGTTTGTTGCAAAGTCTCTGCCGAGATGTGAGCTTCGGTTGCCGAAACATTTGCTTCTACTGTTTGGACAGTTGTCTTTTGCGACGCTATTTCTGTATGTTCAGAGATCACCGAAACATCTTTCGCAATTTCTATGCTCATATCTTGAACAGCAGCTCCGGTAATGCTGGTTTCTGAAAATAAATAATACAGATTTCTTTAATAAAAATGGAAAAAATCAGTATTTTCAATCCGACCTTTTTCGATTTTATCATGGTTCAATTACTATGATTATGTCTAGTGCGAATCCAAGCATGCTGGGAAAAAAAACTACTGATTACTAACTGAAGCTCGGTAGGGACGTCAATTCCAGCTAAATCTTGACTCCGAAAATGTATCGAATGTTCGAAACAGAATTTCCATGAATAGGGAAGTTGTAATTGACAAGAAAATAAATATATTAATTAAGATGGCTAACTACTGGTTTAGAACTTTTTTCCGCATAATATATAGAAAACATTAAACAATCATACCTGTTATGTTGGTTTGTTGCAAAGTCTCTGCAGAAATATGAGCTTCTGCTGCAGAGAGAGTTGCCTCAACTGTTTGAACAGTTGCCTTTTGCGACGCTATTTCTGTATGCTCAGAGATCACCGAAACATCTTTTGCACTTTCTATTTTCATATCTTGAACAGCAGCCCCGGTAATGCTGGTTTCTGAAAATAAATAATAGATTACTTAGATGGCTCAAAACCATGGCCCCGAATCCACACCCAAAGTCCCGTTATTTGGTGTTATCTAATGTCTGTAGAATTTATTTTTTTGTATTTCTTTATAAGGTCGGCAAATAAAAATTAACTTGCCAACTAATAAATGATGAATAGAATACTTCTAAGGGACCTGATCACTCTAGTTAATTTTAGTGCAAGATAAAAGATATGATCTGATCATGAAATCTCCTTGAAATATTAAAGCACGATATATTAGGTCAGCATTTCGCATTTGAGAAGTTTTTTCACATAGAGGAAAAACAGAAATGTTACTTCGTATTCAGATAGTTTTTGATTACTTTGGTAATAATCTAATTACAGTATTTCTCCACGTATAATACCACTTTCAAAGCTTAATTTCATTTGAAAATTTGAATGTTTTCAAGAATAGGGAAGAAGTACTTAATAATAGAAGGAATATATCAGAAAAAATGTGGAGAATCACTGGTTTTGAACCCATTTATGTAAAATATATAGAAAGCTTTTAAACAATCATACCAGTTATGTTGGTTTGTTGCAAAGTCTCTGCCGAGATGTGAGCTTCGGTTGCCGAAACATTTGCTTCTACTGTTTGGACAGTTGTCTTTTGCGACGCTATTTCTGTATGTTCAGAGATCACCGAAACATCTTTCGCACTTTCTATGCTCATATCTTGAACAGCAGCTCCGGTAATGCTGGTTTCTGAAAATAAATAATACAGATTTATTTAATAAAAATGGAAAAAATCAGTATTTTCAATCCGACCTTTTTCGATTTTATCATGGTTCTATTACTATGATTATGTCTAGTGCGTATCCAAGCATGCTGGGGAAAAAAACTACTGATTACTAACTGAAGCTCGGTAGGGACGTTCATTCCAGCTAAATCTTGACTCCGAAAATGTATCGAATGTTAGAAACAGAATTTCCATGAATAGGGAAGTTGTAATTGACAAGAAAAAGAATATATTAATTAAGATGGCAAACTACTGGTTTAGAACTTTTTTCCGCAAAATATATAGAAAACATTAAACAATCATACCTGTTATGTTGGTTTGTTGCAAAGTCTCTGCAGAAATATGAGCTTCTGCCGCAGATAAAGTTGCCTCTACTGTTTGAACAGTTGCCTTCTGCGACGCTATTTCTGTATGTTCAGAGATCACCGAAACATCTATTGCACTTTCTATGCTCATATCTTGAACAGCAGCCCCGGTAATGCTGGTTTCTGGAAATAAAAATTACAGATTTCTTTAATAAAAATGGAAAAAATCAGTATTTTCAATCCGACCTTTTTCGATTTTATCATGGTTCAATTACTATGATTATGTCTAGTGCGAATCCAAGCATGCTGGGGAAAAAAACTACTGATTACTAACTGAAGCTCGGTAGGGACGTTCATTCCAGCTAAATCTTGACTCCGGAAATGTATCGAATGTTAGAAACAGAATTTCCATGAATAGGGAAGTTGTAATTGACAAGAAAAAGAATATATTAAAAAAGATGGCAAACTACTGGTTTAGAACTTTTTTCCGCATAATATATAGAAAACATTAAACAATCATACCTGTTATGTTGGTTTGTTGCAAAGTCTCTGCAGAAATATGAGTTTCTGCTGCAGAGAGAGTTGCCTCTACTGTTTGAACAGTTGCTTTTTGCGACGCTATTTCTGTATGCTCAGAGATCACCGAAACATCTTTTGCACTTTTTATGCTCATATCTTGAACGGCAGCCCCGGTAATGCTGGTTTCTGAAAATAAATAATAGATTACTTAGATGGCTCAGAACCATGGCCCCGAATCCACACCCAAAGTTCCGTTATTTGGTGTTATGTAATGTCTGTAGAATTTATTTTTTTGTATTTCTTTATAAGGTCGGCAAATAAAAATTAACTTGCCGACTAATAAATGATGAATAGAATACTTCTAAGGGACCTGATCACTCTAGTTAATTTTAGTGCAAGATAAAAGATCTGATCTGATCATGAAATCTCCTTGAAACATTAAAGCACGATATATTAGGTCAGCATTTCGCATTTGAGAAGTTTTTTCACATAGAGGAAAAACAGAAATGTTACTTCGTATTCAGATAGTTTTTGATTACTTTGGTAATAATCTAATTACAGTATTTCTCCACGTATAATACCACTTTCAAAGCTTAATTTCATTTGAAAATTTGAATGTTTTCAAGAATAGGGAAGAAGTACTTAATAATAGAAGGAATATATCAGAAAAAATGTGGAGAATCACTGGTTTTGAACCCATTTATGTAAAATATATAGAAAGCTTTTAAACAATCATACCAGTTATGTTGGTTTGTTGCAAAGTCTCTGCCGAGATGTGAGCTTCGGTTGCCGAAACATTTGCTTCTACTGTTTGGACAGTTGTCTTTTGCGACGCTATTTCTGTATGTTCAGAGATCACCGAAACATCTTTCGCACTTTCTATGCTCATATCTTGAACAGCAGCTCCGGTAATGCTGGTTTCTGAAAATAAATAATACAGATTTATTTAATAAAAATGGAAAAAATCAGTATTTTCAATCCGACCTTTTTCGATTTTATCATGGTTCTATTACTATGATTATGTCTAGTGCGTATCCAAGCATGCTGGGGAAAAAACTACTGATTACTAACTGAAGCTCGGTAGGGACGTTCATTCCAGCTAAATCTTGACTCCGAAAATGTATCGAATGTTAGAAACAGAATTTCCATGAATAGGGAAGTTGTAATTGACAAGAAAAAGAATATATTAATTAAGATGGCAAACTACTGGTTTAGAACTTTTTTCCGCAAAATATATAGAAAACATTAAACAATCATACCTGTTATGTTGGTTTGTTGCAAAGTCTCTGCAGAAATATGAGCTTCTGCTGCAGATAAAGTTGCCTCTACTGTTTGAACAGTTGCCTTCTGCGACGCTATTTCTGTATGTTCAGAGATCACCGAAACATCTATTGCACTTTCTATGCTCATATCTTGAACAGCAGCCCCGGTAATGCTGGTTTCTGGAAATAAAAATTACAGATTTCTTTAATAAAAATGGAAAAAATCAGTATTTTCAATCCGACCTTTTTCGATTTTATCATGGTTCAATTACTATGATTATGTCTAGTGCGAATCCAAGCATGCTGGGGAAAAAAACTACTGATTACTAACTGAAGCTCGTAGGGACGTTCATTCCAGCTAAATCTTGACTCCGGAAATGTATCGAATGTTAGAAACAGAATTTCCATGAATAGGGAAGTTGTAATTGACAAGAAAAAGAATATATTAAAAAAGATGGCAAACTACTGGTTTAGAACTTTTTTCCGCATAATATATAGAAAACATTAAACAATCATACCTGTTATGTTGGTTTGTTGCAAAGTCTCTGCAGAAATATGAGTTTCTGCTGCAGAGAGAGTTGCCTCTACTGTTTGAACAGTTGCTTTTTGCGACGCTATTTCTGTATGCTCAGAGATCACCGAAACATCTTTTGCACTTTTTATGCTCATATCTTGAACGGCAGCCCCGGTAATGCTGGTTTCTGAAAATAAATAATAGATTACTTAGATGGCTCAGAACCATGGCCCCGAATCCACACCCAAAGTTCCGTTATTTGGTGTTATGTAATGTCTGTAGAATTTATTTTTTTGTATTTCTTTATAAGGTCGGCAAATAAAAATTAACTTGCCGACTAATAAATGATGAATAGAATACTTCTAAGGGACCTGATCACTCTAGTTAATTTTAGTGCAAGATAAAAGATCTGATCTGATCATGAAATCTCCTTGAAACATTAAAGCACGATATATTAGGTCAGCATTTCGCATTTGAGAAGTTTTTTCACATAAAGGAAAAACAGAAATGTTACTTTGTATTCAGATAGTTTTTGATTACTTTGGTGATAATCTAATTACAGTATTTCTCCACGTATAATACCACATTCAAAGCTTAATTTCATTGGAAAATTTGAATGTTTTCAAGAATAGGGAAGAAGTACTTAATAATAGAAGGAATATATCAGAAAAAATGTGGAGAATCACTGGATTTGAACCCATTTATGTAAAATATATAGAAAGCTTTTAAACAATCATACCAGTTATGTTGGTTTGTTGCAAAGTCTCTGCCGAGATGTGAGCTTCGGTTGCCGAAACATTTGCTCCTACTGTTTGGACAGTTGTCTTTTGCGACGCTATTTCTGTATGTTCAGAGATCACCGAAACATCTTTCGCAATTTCTATGCTCATATCTTGAACAGCAGCTCCGGTAATGCTGGTTTCTGAAAATAAATAATACAGATTTCTTTAATAAAAATGGAAAAAATCAGTATTTTCAATCCGACCTTTTTCGATTTTATCATGGTTCTATTACTATGATTATGTCTAGTGCGTATCCAAGCATGCTGGGAAAAAAAACTACTGATTACTAACTGAAGCTCGGTAGGGACGTTCATTCCAGCTAAATCTTGACTCCGAAAATGTATCGAATGTTAGAAACAGAATTTCCATGAATAGGGAAGTTGTAATTGACAAGAAAATAAATATATTAATTAAGATGGCAAACTACTGGTTTAGAACTTTTTTCCGCATAATATATAGAAAACATTAAACAATCATACCTGTTATGTTGGTTTGTTGCAAAGTCTCTGCAGAAATATGAGCTTCTGCTGCAGAGAGAGTTGCCTCTACTGTTTGAACAGTTGCCTTTTGCGACGCTATTTCTGTATGCTCAGAGATCACCGAAACATCTTTTGCACTTTCTATGCTCATATCTTGAACAGCAGCCCCGGTAATGCTGGTTTCTGAAAATAAATAATAGATTACTTAGATGGCTCAAAACCATGGCCCCGAATCCACACCCAAAGTCCCGTTATTTGGTGTTATCTAATGTCTGTAGAATTTATTTTTTTGTATTTCTTTATAAGGTCGGCAAATTAAAATTAACTTGCCAACTAATAAATGATGAATAGAATACTTCTAAGGGACCTGATCACTCTAGTTAATTTTAGTGCAAGATAAAAGATCTGATCTGATCATGAAATCTCCTTGAAATATTAAAGCACGATATATTAGGTCAGCATTTCGCATTTGAGAAGTTTTTTCACATAGAGGAAAAACAGAAATGTTACTTTGTATTCAGATAGTTTTTGATTACTTTGGTAATAATCTAATTACAGTATTTCTCCACGTATAATACCACTTTCAAAGCTTAATTTCATTTGAAAATTTGAATGTTTTCAAGAATAGGGAAGAAGTACTTAATAATAGAAGGAATATATCAGAAAAAATGTGGAGAATCACTGGTTTTGAACCCATTTATGTAAAATATATAGAAAGCTTTTAAACAATCATACCAGTTATGTTGGTTTGTTGCAAAGTCTCTGCCGAGATGTGAGCTTCGGTTGCCGAAACATTTGCTTCTACTGTTTGGACAGTTGTCTTTTGCGACGCTATTTCTGTATGTTCAGAGATCACCGAAACATCTTTCGCACTTTCTATGCTCATATCTTGAACAGCAGCTCCGGTAATGCTGGTTTCTGAAAATAAATAATACAGATTTATTTAATAAAAATGGAAAAAATCAGAATTTTCAATCCGACCTTTTTCGATTTTATCATGGTTCTATTACTATGATTATGTCCAGTGCGTATCCAAGCATGCTGGGGAAAAAAACTACTGATTACTAACTGAAGCTCGGTAGGGACGTTCATTCCAGCTAAATCTTGACTCCGAAAATGTATCGAATGTTAGAAACAGAATTTCCATGAATAGGGAAGTTGTAATTGACAAGAAAAAGAATATATTATTTAAGATGGCAAACTACTGGTTTAGAACTTTTTTCCGCAAAATATATAGAAAACATTAAACAATCATACCTGTTATGTTGGTTTGTTGCAAAGTCTCTGCAAAAATATGAGCTTCTGCTGCAGAGAAAGTTGCCTCTACTGTTTGAACAGTTGCCTTCTGCGACGCTATTTCTGTATGTTCAGAGATCACCGAAACATCTATTGCACTTTCTATGCTCATATCTTGAACAGCAGCCCCGGTAATGCTAGTTTCTGGAAATAAAAATTACAGATTTCTTTAATAAAAATGGAAAAAATCAGTATTTTCAATCCGACCTTTTTCGATTTTATCATGGTTCTATTACTATGATTATGTCTAGTGCGAATCCAAGCATGCTGGGGAAAAAACTACTGATTACTAACTGAAGCTCGGTAGGGACGTTCATTCCAGCTAAATCTTGACTCCGAAAATGTATCGAATGTTAGAAACAGAATTTCCATGAATAGGGAAGTTGTAATTGACAAGAAAAAGAATATATTAAAAAAGATGGCAAACTACTGGTTTAGAACTTTTTTCCGCATAATATATAGAAAACATTAAACAATCATACCTGTTATGTTGGTTTGTTGCAAAGTCTCTGCAGAAATATGAGTTTCTGCTGCAGAGAGAGTTGCCTCTACTGTTTGAACAGTTGCCTTTTGCGACGCTATTTCTGTATATTCAGAGATCACCGAAACATCTTTCGCACTTTCTATGCTCATATCTTGAACAGCAGCCCCGGTAATGCTGGTTTCTGAAAATAAATAATAGATTACTCAGATGGCTCAGAACCTTGGCCCCGAATCCACACCCAGAGTCCCGTTATTTGGTGTTATCTAATGTCTGTAGAATTTATTTTTTTGTATTTCTTTATAAGGTCGGCAAATAAAAATTAACTTGCCGACTAATAAATGATGAATAGAATACTTCTAAGGGACCTGATCACTCTAGTTAATTTTAGTGCAAGATAAAAGTTCTGATCTGATCATGAAATCTCCTTGAAATATTAAAGCACGATATATTAGGTCAGCATTTCGCATTTGAGAAGTTTTTTCACATAGAGGAAAAACAGAAATGTTACTTTGTATTCAGATAGTTTTTGATTACTTTGGTAATAAACTAATTACAGTATTTCTCCACGTATAATACCACTTTCAAAGCTTAATATCATTTGAAAATTTGAATGTTTTCAAGAATAGGGAAGAAGTACTTAATAATAGAAGGAATATATCAGAAAAAATGTGGAGAATCACTGGTTTTGAACCCATTTATGTAAAATATATAAAAAGCTTTTAAACAATCATACCAGTTATGTTGGTTTGTTGCAAAGTCTCTGCCGAGATGTGAGCTTCGATTGCCGAAACATTTGCTTCTACTGTTTGGACAGTTGTCTTTTGCGACGCTATTTCTGTATTTTCAGAGATCACCGAAACATCTTTCGCACTTTCTATGCTCATATTTTGAACCGCAGCCCCGGTAATGCTGATTTCTGAAAATTAAAGAACATATTTCTTTGATAAAAGTTACAAAATAAGTTTTTGCAATCCGACCTTTCTCAATTTTTTTATGGTTCTAATACTTTGTGAGTGCCCACTGCGTATCCAAGTGTGCTGGACAAATAAACTACGGAATACTGACTAAGGCTCGGTAGAAACATTCATTCCAAACCATGAATCTAAATCCACAGCCCTGAACGTTGCTATAATCTATGGCTAGTGCATTTCATATTTAATACCCAATAAATTCAACGAATAAATATTTATTTGCCGACTAATCAATAATTAGGCAAAAAACTTGTACAGGTTAAGATTACTTTAGTTAACTTTTCTGAAATAGATGAAGTTCTGAGTCACTCAGTAAAACTAGTTTAAACATGAGTGTACAATATTTTAGACCAGTGTTTACTAAACGAAGAGTTTCTTCCCACATAGGAGAAACCAAATTTAGAATTGCTTTTCATTTTTGCAATCCTTGTAATTTATTAAATTTGACCCGCTCGAGATAATTTTCAAGATGTCGCCGTTGGCAAAATTTCCAAGTTGCGGTAAAATTCTACAGATTGCAATATTACATTGATCAGTTTTATATCATCACGGCAATAAGGAAAGAAGTCAAGTGCGACCAGGCTGTAATTTTATGATGGATAATGAAACAGATCAACCTCAGGTTACTATGGTATAGTTTCGGCCGAACCATACCATAGTCACCTATAAAATGAATGCCCTTTTAGTTATATTTGTGATCGTATTTGATAGCATTGAACCTGGGTAAAAAAATAAACGAATGGCCAATACCGAATAGTTCACTATTTCGAATACATTCGAATTTAATATTTTCGAATATGAAATATCGAAGACATTCAAAATAAAATCAAGTAAAAGAATCCTATCTTGGTGTATGAAGGAATTTGCATACAAATAATAACTATAGGACAACTGTATTCACTGTGATATTTTAGAATATTAATATTTTTATTTTTCCATAATTCGACGCATCCAAGTCATCGGCCATGGATTTGAATATTCTGTGCCACAGAAAATTATCCTGGTAAAGCGTTCATACTTTTAACTATCATTATTCAAATCATTTGCCAAAAAAGTTTCGAATACTTTGATATTGGAAAAAATTCGATTTTTCGATTCGTTTTGGTCAACTCTAACTTAGGGTGCTTAAATATTTAACCAAATATTGGAAGAGAGGGTTTTTCTCAGTAGGTTAGGGTGCTTAAAATTTTAACTAAATATTGAATGAGGGGGTTTTTCTCAGTAGGTTGGGGTGCCCAAAAATTTAACTAAATACCAAAATTGGTCAGGGTTAGTAAGTTAAGACCTCTAACACAAGAATGCGACTTGTAGGCCAAAATCAAAGTAAGTTTGACAAGAGGTATAAAAATTATTTACCATTAATGTTGGTTTGTTGAAGTACATTTGCAGAGATAATTGCCTCCCCTGTCGTAACGTTTGCTTGCTCTGTGGAAACAGAAACCTCCTCAGCTTGCAAACTTGTCTCGTTACTCGCTGCAATAAGGTCACATATATCAATTAGGTATTAATTAGAAGCACTGTCTTGTGAGTAAAAAATGGAAAACCAAGTTAATTAAAATAAATTAAATGAGGTCTGATATCATTGCCTATTGATATAATATTGCTTACACATCATACATTGTTTGGTGTAAACTAAGAAGATAGATTAGTTCTACTTCGTGATTTCACATGAATGTAAATTTAAATTTGTGGATATAAAACGGAGGTTTCCAGCGTGTAAAAATGAACAAAATTGAAATATCCTAACTTGCGGGATCGAGTGATAAGTTTTTTCTGCATTTCACAGCCCTGACCGCACTTCTAGATGGCGAGAGGAATCGCATTCAACAAAGTCAAAAATACATACCGGTAATACTATTTCTGACTAAAATGAAGCCGGATATTGAAAATTTGGTGCCGTTCACCCGGCTCGCACATCTCATTAGACTAATAATAAATAGAGAACAAATTTATTTCTACTTTTAGTCAGGGGGGCGCTTGTTATTCAAAAACTCGTACGAGGGGGCGCTACAAAAAAAAATTGAGAAAACAATTAGTTGAAAAAATATTTCAGAAAGAATTATCTTACCGATGTGGCATTGTTCCGCAGAAATGACGGCATCTCTAGCTGTCACAGTCGCCTGCTTTGCTATCACAGATACTTCGTCTACATTTGCGATTTCTGAACGTTCTGCTGTCACGGAGACTTCTGCAGCGTTATTCACGCTCAAGTCTTGCACAACGGAATCAGTTATATTTGTTGCTGACACCGACACAGCTGGCACGATCTCCTGCTCCATTTTCAAACCTTAAAAACTTTAGATTCGGGCTCGTCAGATATATGATACAAAATATTAGGAAATATGTGAAATAATGAAAGAAATGATACGCTGGGGATATTAATAGACTAAAAACATAAAACTGTGGTAAGAGGGGTATTTGAAAGAAAACCTTTTTTTACAAATGGAAATCAGCACAACAATTTCATATTTATTCTGAGAGGAAAGTCGATAAAGCGACTGGATCCCATACCCGACGTGAACCCTATCTGTTCCAATACCCGACATGAACTGTGACGCACGAGAAGCCGTGCTTTGATGTATGATTACGCCTTTTTAAGGCTTTCTTCTCCCCGGGATAAATATAGAATTGATAGCCTACAGTTTTCAATAAAATAATGCTCAGTAAGTAAAGTAAACAAGTCTCGAATGTTGTAAACTCACCATCAATTGCGGTGAAATGAAGCAACAGCACTTGAAGTGTTTCAGAGGATTTGGTTCAGGTAGACTTTTATGTTTATTATTTAAACTGAAAATGACAAAGTGGAATTTACAACAGGATCAATGACAAAGAGGTTTTCGACATTGAACAACTGAATCACAAAGAATTAATAACAAAATCAATCAATCAATCATCATTTATTCGTCAACACAATTTAAACATGGTATGATATATAAAAAAATAATTACAAATACAAGTGGAAACTAACTTAAATTGTGTGACAGGAGTCGCGAGGGACCTCAAGAGGTCTTCAGGCAGCGACACCTAAAACGCTTGTTGATTCAGGTTTATAGCTTAAAAAGTTAATGAAACACCAAAACATTTCAAAATAAATATTTTGAAGAAAAAAAGAACATTTTCAAAAAAAAAAAATACTAAATATCCATCATAAGTATTTAAAATAAAAATAAAACATAACATCCTGGTTACGAGTATGTTTTTTTATTATTTAAATCAGTGACCAAATTCATAAAAGATGAAATGCACTGTATGAATTAAACGGTTGCACGAAAAGACATAAAATATGTTATATATCGATGTGGAGTAAAAAAAAATATAACGATTAACTATAATTCCCTTTAGACTGAATCTTTCAGTATCCCCTGACATGATGTACGCAAGGTCTTTAACCAAAATTTGGTTTTCAAAAATCACGACTCCACGCACATCTGATTCGTTCGCAGAGCTGCGCTTTGTTTGGCAGAGTAGAATAACGGTACGTTATTGATACGTTGCGACCAAAGTGACTATAACACTTTATAGTCAATTTGGCTGCGACAGAGTAAAGAAACAGGATTCGAATATTTAACCCAACGGACAGGTAAGCCGATGACATGGCTTAATAATATAGACTTAATCAAGTACTCGGGTCAGTTGCAAAGAAGCGCAGTACCGGTAGTACCGTATACAGGTATAGGTACCGGTAGGTGATTTTTTGGTGATCAATTCAAAGAAAGGTAGTCATCAATGTATTTCTTTTTTAGTTCCCTTTTAAAACCATGATAGGATAGTGATCTCATTTTACCTGATATATTATTCCATAACTTTACACCCACGTATTTGATGGAATTCTGCGTTCTACATGACGTGTATCTCGGTACATGAAAGGAAGCTTGTGAAATAGATCTTGTGTAATACGAATGAACATTAGTCTGCTTGGTGAAATATCCTACGAATGCGGTTGGAAGTTTGCCGTCAAAGTACTGGTGCATAAGTTTCAATATCTCAAATTTAGGGACATGGCAAAGTTTCATTATTTTTAACCTGTGATACAATGGGTCAAGTCTGGATCGTAAAGGTGCATTGCCTATTGCTCGGATTGATTTATTTTGCAGGACCTCTAATCTGTGAAGGAGTGTGGAAGATGCGTTTCCCCAAGCTACGATACCATATTGAAGATATGATTGAAAGAGAGAAAAATAAACTAATCGCATAGCTGATGGGGTGAGAAACTTTTTAAGTTTGAATAATATACCTGCTGTTCTAGCAAGCTTGCCAGCAATGTAGTTAATATGAGCTACCCATTTTAACTGGTTATCGATGTGTATACCCAAGTATTTGTATGAGTTCACATTCTCAAGTAATATACCATTAATAGTAATTTTAATCAAATGCACACTTCTTTCATTTTTTTTGGGATTAATTAGAAGTGATTTGGATTTTTCAATATTTATAGTTAGTTTGTTACTAGTCATCCACGTTGCAATTTTTTGCATTTCAGAGTTCATGTGTATTTGCAAGTCATTTGGCGAGACTGAACTTCCAAATAACCCGGTATCGTCAGCGAAGAGTTTGACCAATAATCTGGTGGCATGAGGAAGATCGTTGACGAATAATACGAACAATAATGGGCCAATTATTGTGCCCTGGGGAATTCCGCATTGTACAGTTGCAAGTTCGGAGCAATTTGATCCTATTTTGACATATTGTTGACGCGAATATAAATAGCTCTGGAAGAATTTTGATGCATGACCGCGAATGCCATAGTGGCTCAGCTTTCTAACTAATATGTGATGGTCGACAGTGTCGAATGCCTTTTTTAGGTCGTGAAATATTGCACTGAGATATTCCCTTTTCTCTAATTTATCATAAAAGTAAGTTACCATATCTAGTATTGCATGATTAGTAGAGTGCTTCTTTTGGAAACCAAACTGTGACTTATTAATAATGCTATTTCGATCTATAAATTGTGTTAGTCTGGTATGCAAAAGTTTTTCGAATGTTATGGTCATAGTCGAAAGAACTGAAATGGGGCGATAGTTGGTTGCACATTCTTTGTCTCCAGCTTTGAACACTGGTGTGACTTTAGCAATTTTCAAACTTTTGGGAAAAATACCATGGTCTAGGGAGGCATTAAACAACTTACACAGCATGGGAGACACTATATCAGCGGCGTATTTTAAAAATTTGGCAGGTATATTGTCATACCCCACTGCTTTGCCATCAGGAAGACTTGCTATGGTGGTAAATACTTCATTGATTGTCGTTGGTCTAAGAAACAAGGAATCTTTCACTGGATTCTTGAGATTATTCAAAAAAGAATCATTAGAATGGGGAATATTTTCAGACACTTTTGGGCCTATGGTGGTGAAATAATTGTTAAGGTAATTGGCAATACAAATTGGATCACATACTTTAGTTCCATTGTCAATTTTTAGCTCTTTGATTGAACATTTTTTTTCTTGTCCGATATTAGCTAAATGACCAATCAATTTCCAGGTGGATTTGATGTCACCACAAATGTGTTTGAATTTTCTGAAGTAATACGATTTTTTTGCGTTACTTATTACGATTTTAAGTAAATTGTTATAAACTTTGTATAAATTATGTTGGGTATTGCTACCATTTTTAAAGTGCGTTTTATACATTTTACGTTTTTTTCTAATGGAGACATGAATACCTTTCGTGAGCCACGGTTTGGCTAGAAGTTTCGATTCGCGCCGACTTAATGGTTTCATGGGTGCGTGTGCATCAATAGTTGTTTGAATTGTTTCTGTGAATATTTCAAATAAAGTGTTTAAGTTATCACATGTGATTTGACAATTTGTGATAGGACTCAGGGATGATTCTAGATTAGATCTATACGTGTCAACAGAAAAATTTTTCATATTTCGTTTAAATATATGATCTCGATCTTGACCCCCTTGGTAATTTGGAAAAGAGACTGTGCAGAATTGTGGATAATGGTCACTGATGTCACTAAGAATAATAAAGCTTGCCAAGTTATATTTTATTGCATTTGTGAAGATATTATCAATTAGTGTACTAGATGAACGAGTTACTCTAGTTGGTGATGTAATCAAAGGCAATGACAAATTAGCTAACAGCATATCAATATACTTCATGGTGGCCAAATCTGTTGTTGGACCTAATAAATTTATATTTAAATCTCCTAATATGATGAATAGTTTCATTTCTATATTTAATTTTTCTAAAGTGATTGATAATTTTTCGGTAAATTTGGGAATATCTTTTCTGGGATGTTTATAAATTACTCCAATCGTGAATGTGACATTTGAATTGATTTTAAGATCTATCCACAATTCCTCACAGTCTGGGTGGTTTAAATTATATTCACAAGTCTCAGTGACGGCAAAACCTTGCTTTACGTAGAGTCCCACTCCCCCGGCACTTGTTTTGGACGGTTTATGAATGAATTCATAATTAGGTAGACTGATGTTTAAAATTGGGGTTACACCAAGTCTCGTTTCTGAGATTGCAATGAGATGAGGGGGGGTAATAAATTCAGATAGTAAATTCACTACAGAATCATGGTTTTTTTTGGAGAGACCGAATATTCATATGAAATGCAATAACACAGTTTTTTTGAAAAGACATACTAGTTGTTCTTAAATTTGACACTTCTATATTTTCGCACACACACTTAGTTATTCCATACAAGATTTTTGAGTTATGTGCAAGTGCACAATGCGTCTGATCGGGCAACTGATGGGGTATTGCTAGATTAGAGCATGATCCTATTGGTTGGCATGATGCCAGTAAATTTTCACATGTATAATACGCTAGTTCAGTATAAATTAACTAGTTGAAAATATATAGAATCACACTCACATTAATTATTGGATTTTAGAGAGGTCTTCATCACATCGAATATTTAAAGAGTTTTTGATGTCAGCGTTCTTTTTTACGTATACTCTTCCATTCGATGTCCAGATAAATTTATAACCACAAATATTTTTTGCAGTTCTTGCTCTGAAGTATAAGTCTTTATTAAGAGCTGTTAAATTCTCTGCGATGAAAATTTTTGATGGTTGAAAAAAATGTGAACTTGATCTTACTGAGCGGAGAACTTTTCGTTTTTCGAAGATTTTAATTTTGTTCTTGCGATGAATAAATTTAGCAATTATGGCTGGAGTTCTTGTTCCTTCCCCTCCTGTTGGCATTCTATGGGACACTGAAATATCGCTGGCTTGGATGTTGACACCAACCAACTTTGCGATGTTGCAAACAATTTCATCAGTGTCCTCATTTTGTTCAACAGGTATACCATGAAACTCAAGGTTCTCCAGGCGTCCTCTCCTCTCTTGATCCTCTAGTTTTTCTGACACATAATATAAATCATCTTCTAGGTCATAAATTCTGTTTAGAAGACTTTCAATTGTTCTTTTGTTTTCAGTTGTTTGTTTTTCCAAGATCTTATTCTTTTCAGCCAAATCGTCGTACATTTTGGTGTGAAAAGGTTGGCTTTCTTTTATATCGGATAGTTCAGCTCTGATGTCCCTCATGGATAGGCTCAGATCATTAAGTATCTCCTGGATGTTGGGTGTAATAGGAGTGAGAATGTCTGAGTTGTCTGAGTGTTCAAGATTTTCCTCAAGACATTGGCCTATCATTTCTGGGAGTTGAAGTGTTATAGCATTTATGATATTTCTTGTGATGACAGGTAATATCCCACTCACAATTTCGTTGTATTGTGGGGAATCAGTCCTGGAACCTGGTACATATTCTTCAACCCGTTCTTCACTCTGATGTTGCTTAGTTTTTGGTGATTTTACAGATGTATTCTTGGTTTTGCTAGATGTTTTTTATCTTGATGGAGGTTTTGGTGCATCCATTGTTCAGTTCTTGAGTTATAAGTTAACTTATAATATTTTTATTTTACAAGATCTTAATCAAATAGCGAATAATTAGTTAGAGAGTTAGTTAGTTACGTCAGGATACATAATGCAAGTGTTGGAGTTTGTAATCTCAAGTTTTAAAACAGTTCTCACACAGTTCTAAAATATCTGACTGCATCTGTTTTATCGAATATCTCATGGGATTCGTGTCATCATAAATTCGTAAAATCTACCTTTGGTTTTCATCAACAAAACATTTTTATAAGCGTTTCACTGTTTAGTATTAATATAAAACATCAGCGGTGTAGATTGTAAAGTATAGGGAAAACATTCCAAAAATAAAACAAAAATTTAAATCTCGTGAAAGCACTTTGGCAATGCATTTTAGGTTGTTTTAAGGAAAATTAGTGGCTTCCGCAACACACAGTTCTAAAACATCTGTCTGCACGAACGCATAATATATACGACTCTATAAAATGGATTTAATGCCCCATAAAGCGACATAGCCAGAAATATAAGATAAACGATCATTCCGACTGCTTTCATGTATAGGTTATGCGCAAATTTATGTCCAGCAATTATATCGTTCTCTAAATACTGTTATATATTTAGAGTGTTATTGCTGAATCTGAAGAAAACAATTCACTTTGTGCAAAACCCTTGAGCAATATACGATAATCAGTGGATGACAATTTGTGAATGAACCTTGCTTCTACGAATGAACGCTTCTAACAATTTCCGCTGTTGGCATCGAATTTCATAACATCATAATAAATACAACAGTAAAGTCAAACGTCAGGGGTAAAGATAAGAGTATCTTTTGTTCAACGTTATTTTTAATGACGTTTATATTAATTAAATCGAACTGGAAGCAACATAATAATCTGGTTTAGATGGCCCTTTTCCTACGCGGACCAGCTAACGGCTTTTTACATACATGTAAAAGAACATAAAAAAAAGAAAAAAAAGTATACTCGCCTGAGTAGGCTCTATAAATTGGTTTAATAATCCATTATGGCAATAAAAACTTAGATTTCAGTCGTGTATTCAGACAAACTCCGGTCTGAGCCGTCCGTTACCAAATCAGCTGCTTAAATAACCCCGAATACACGAAAAAATCACTTTGAACTCGAAGTTGACACTCAAACATAATTTCGAGCAAAAATAATCGAAATAAATTCAGTGCAAATTCTTGGTGAATCGAAAACTCATTGAGTGTGAAAAAATTGAACAGCCAAGTTGAAAAAGGACGACTAATAACTGGAGAGAATTCCCGTGATTGCCATCTACAAATAGAAAAAAAAGGAACGCGGCCTGATCGACAAGAATCAAATCCTGCCGAACTTCAGCTGCTGTGCCATATATTTCTATGATTAGATAATAGATGGACTAAGTGAGACACCACATACCAATCAGAAATATTAACTCATAATCATTGCCCATATAAAACAAAATAAGCTTCTGTGTTTACTCAGTCTCACAAAGTGTACGCTTTTTCTAAGCAGCGAAAAAATGTAGCGCATCCAATTTACCTAAGTTTGGTATCATTATTCAAAATATGTATAAGAATGATCCGGCATTCACATAAATCTGGTATGCCAACACCGTCAATCTTTAAAAACCAAGATATATCCGGTTTTGACCTCTGCCAAGTTTAACAACATTTTGGGCTATTTATATCGTAAAATGCAAAATAGTGACGTGTCTCTTTCAAAATAAGAATAGAGGCTCCACCCAATTAATACACGATAACACTTTCAGTAGAAATGTCTGTATATCTCCGTCTAATGCTAAAATAGATAAAAAATTTTACTTCAGATAATTTTTATTTTAATACTTTTTCCCTCATTTCGTTGATTAAGCTTTGGCAACATTCATTTTAACCTGACCCTTTTACACAAACCTATGCCCGCCCCACTTGACCTAGATATTGAAACACTTCGCACTCACAAATAGATAGAAAAATAAATTACTGTATGTTTAAAATAATTGTCCACTATACATACATAGCTTGACGTAAACTGCAACGCATTTCCTTATGTGTCAGGTTTTGCTCAAACGCGTTGAAGCTATAGATGGGAATATATGGGACAGGAAATTGAGTCAATCCTTGTATAAGATTACTGAGCTATTTATCAAATGGGAATTCCAACAACACAATGTATTGCTGCATAATTATATCCTTCAATAGCTGTTCGGGATTGTGGTTATATCAACCTTTTGAACCAAAACTCCATTTGAACATTTTGTATAAATTAATGTTCGAATGAATAAGTTCTATAGGTTTCGGAGATGTCAAACTGGGTTGTTTTAAGGAAATGATTTGATAGAAATAAAAGTGTCGTTCCATACGTATGCAGATAACGCCAAATCCTCGCAATTCTGGTTTCTATATGTATGCAGATAACGCAAATACTAGCAATTCTGGATTCTATATGTATGCAGATAACGCAAATACTAGCAATTCTGGATTCTATATGTATGCAGATAAGGCCAAATCTTCGCAATTCTGGATTCTATACGTATGCAGATAATGCCAAATCCTCGCAATTCTGGATTCTATACGTATGCATGTGTCGCCAAATTCTCGCAATTCTGGATTCTATATGTATGCAGATAACGCAAATACTAGCCATTCTGGATTCTATATGTATGCAGATAACGCAAATACTAGCAATTCTGGATTCTATATGTATGCAGATAAGGCCAAATCTTCGCAATTCTGGATTCTATACGTTTGCAGATAATGCCAAATCCTCGCAATTCTGGATTCTATACGTATGCAGATAACGCCAAATTCTCTCAATTCTGGATTCTATATGTATGCAGATAACGCAAATCCTCACAATTCTGGATTCTATATGTATGCAGATAAGGCCAAATCCTCGCAATTCTGGATTCTATATGTATGCAGATAACGCCAAATCTTCGCAATACTGAAGTCTATAT